ACAAGCGGAACAATAAGGTATGCTAATACAGAGCAGAGTATAGGACAGTTAAAATTTCACAAGATTTTTAAGTCTAATAATGATGTGTTACTTTTTTCTCCACTTCAGAAAACATCGATCATATGTGGGAGAGATAAGGGAAGGTGTGTCCTGACTCAGGGATTTATTAGATTGGAATAGTTGGTCAACCGGAGAAAACATTTAAATAGCTACATAATGCCTGAAAGGCTGAATTATATTCTATACTTTTTACATTTCCACCATAAATTGGTGCAGAAATTTTCACCAGAATGCAGGAAATGCAGTCTTTAATGCTTAAATTGTATCACCATTGAATCTAAACCAGTGCTCTTGCATTTCAAGAAAATTAACCCATAAATTCTACGCCTACACTGCTGCGGGGCCCCCCATTCTGTCCCCAGCCTCTTACACGTGGATCAGTTTGCCCCTCCCACGTCACGCCATTGGTGGTTGTGCGTACACCGCCACGGATACTGGGGGCGACAAGGGCAACGGCAGACTCGGAACAGCTCAAAAGGGGTAACAAAGGATTTTATTGAGATGTGCAACAGAAGGCTGGGTGATATGTTCCAACAAGACAGAGTGGCAAGCACACAAGGGGGGGTTTGTCCAGGCATGACGTGAGCAGAGCTGAGATCCTGCGCACACACACACAGGGCAGACAGTCGGGAGACAGCAACGTGAAAAGATGTTTTCTCTTGTTGAAAGCGATATTTCCATCTGCTTTTCCACAATAGTTACAACAATAGCACGCTTGGAAAGCAAACAGAATTTTGCTGAACAAGGTGAAGGGAACGCTGTCTGTATGCAGTTTAACTGCTTATGAGGCTGAGACAAACCAGTGAATCACCTGAGTAGCAGATGTTGGAGGGGGACAGGATGAGTGACTGATGTTTGGACATTATTTCTAAAATTAGTATTTTGATTTATTTTATTGACATTTTAGATCGCATATAGTGACTTTGCTTTATTGTTGCTGCACTAGACACATTCTAAACCTGGGCTGAATTGATCTTTTTTAAATTTAATGAAATAACTCATACTGGTTTTGATAAATGACTTTACAGTTTACTCCGTTCACCTAAAAGGCACGTCCAAAATGTGCATTTTTTTGAATGAAATTGGAAGTCCTTTATGTGTGATAGCCATCAAAACGCACGTCCAAAACGTGAGTTTTTTTCATGACAAAAACGGAGTTGAAAACGTTATGAACGTGTAACAGGCAGTGCAAACCTGTGTTGGAAGTGTCTAAAAGGGTGAGAAGAAGGTGCCATTCCTTTGGTGTTCTTTTTAGGGCTGTGTTGTCAGCTAGATGGGGTTTAGGGCTGATTTTTTGTTTTATCATAATCATTAAACCCAATGAAAAGAAATTATCAAGGACAAATTTGACAGAAAAATATCCTATAACTGTTGATTTATAATAATCCTGTAGGCAAAACAGACTGCCTGTGTGTGAAAACAGCCAGTTTCTCCTACACACTTGGCCCTACCTAGAGCCAGCCTTTGGTTTTCTGTTCTCCACTACTGTAGAAACATGACGGTGTAACGTGGCGGAGTCTGAGGAAGAGAACCTGTAATGTCTGTACACATAAAAAGGCTCATTATAGGTGATTATACCCTAATGAAAACATACTTATGAATGTCATATTCCAGAGGTCACTAATTGGCGGAGCACGGTCCGGATACGGACCCAGACTCCGTCCTCTCCGGACCGCAGACCCACAGCCGATTTATAATTGAGACTTACTACCTCGTGACGGAGCGTTTCTTTAACAGCTTTTCTTGCATTTACTGTACTGGCTTAGCGGCCCAGGAAACTCACAGACTAATCGCATGTTTTCCAATCGTCTCATGTGATGCTGCTCAGCCAATCAAATTTGTGCATTCTGATAAGCATTGTGAGTCAAGTCCGCAAGGGTGAAAGCTAAGGAAGGGACGAGACGAAAGAGAAGAGACCTCACATGGCTTTTAATGAATGTACAGAATCTCACATGTACAGTACATTCTCCCCATGGGCAGTTAAAAACCACAATATCTCAGATATCTCCAATCCTAGCCAGAGCTTACGTTTCTCACTGAACAAGAGAAAGTAGGGAAGTGGTTTATATGAGGGAATAAAAGAAGAGGCATTAAAGCTGTTCATTTGTTAAGATTTTTCAATTTTTGAGAGGCAGCTTACTAATACGCATAGTTGAGCTCACTTTTTATAGTGTGGACATATGTCATTTGTAATTTATATTGTCATTTTGTAAAGTGATTGCACAAATAAATGTCTAATTAAAATGTGATGTGTTCAGTTGCTTTGCTTTTTAGAAGTGTATTGTACTCCTAGACATAAAGGGTAAATATAGCTAAAAAAAAACAACAAGTACATGTAACATATATTTATTTTAATAATTGATAAAATATAAATTGAATTCAGGTATAACATTGAATATTTGTTTCAGTTATATCTACTCAAGTATTACTGTTACATTGAGCTAAGATTTTAATTATATCTACTCAATTTTATCTGTCAGTATACTAAATTTTTATATTCAGATCTACTTAATTTTTTTACTTACATTTACTAAATTCATTAGGTATATTAGGTAATATTTTTAAGTGTAAATAAAATTCACCAATAAAATTAATTTCTTCCCAGTAATAGTTTTTAGAGTGTACAAGTCATTTTCACAGCAGCGTGGTATTAGCCAACGCGATTCTGACAAAATAACCTCATCTCAGTTAAGACTGCTACGAAAAAAATCTCAAATAGCTTATGCAGCGCTGTGAGGAATCACCAGGTGACAGTCTCACTTTATAATAGCGTTATGATTATGCTATAATCATTGACCTTAATTGAGATAATCATCTCTCTACACAAGGGCATCACTTTGTGTTGAAAAGGGGTGGGGACATTTAAGGGCTCATATTACGGGTGTGACAAAACACTTGAGACGTGACACTGCAAAAGATTGGGGTCATGAGAACAAGACAAGAGCATATTTTAATACTATTTAGAAAAATTATTTAGTGATATAATATACAATATATCTTGGGGTTTCTCCCCCAGAAGATTTTGAGCATTTAAAACTTAATTTCCTGCATTCTTGAGGCATTTACTGCCCCAATTTATGGTGGAAATGTGGTGAAAAAAGTCTTTATTTATATAAAGGGAAATTCAGGTGGCAGGTGAGAATTCAGAATCTAAAAATAGAATATAATATAATGCAGTAATCAGTAGCTTATTATTTTTGTTTAGCTTAAGTTACTTTTTTTGGACAACGCAGATGTTTCTTCTATATTTAAAATATGAATGTTATGTCTAGCTTTTTTACTGTGCAAATAAACCTTTCTTATAGCATTAATTAACATTTCTTATTGCAAGTTGTTTTTCAGACAATTTTTTACAAATGCTTTCAAAAGGTGATAGGGACAACATCTGCCATTTTAAACATGTCCCTAGAGGTTGAGCTACTCCATGCTTACCGTTTCTCCTCCACTGTCCTCTTGCTCTCTCTGTCCCTCAGCAATATCACAGTGACTCTGCTTCGCTGTCTCACTCCTCCTCCTCCGCCTGGCAGTGGCCAAGGCTCTCCTTCACTCCTTCAAGTGCCTGTGCCTGCACAATGTTGGGTACTGCAGCCCCAGTAGCAAACATACCGGTTAACCCTACCCCGATCGGTTATTTTCACGCATTTGGCGGCCTCTGTCTGAAGACTTTTTTTTTAGCCCGCGCAGCGCATGAAACAGAGGCCACAATAGGCCACTGTCTGTGCTCTATGGGCCGGTCGTTGGCCCATTTTCTTTTAACAGGTCAATAAATAAATAATTTACGTTACACTGGCCACAAAGATGCATCTTTGCCCGGTATGCCAGATTCCATTTTTATGGAAACATTCTGCTTAAAGTAATCCCTATGAGTAATACCCGATTTTACAAACTGTACCTGTGATCTGATTATGTCTTTTTTTTCTGTAACAGAATACAGTTACTTAAAAAAAATGTTTTTTTTTTTTTTTACATGTAATCGATTACTTCCCAACTCTGTCTGTGCGTCATGTGTAAAGCCCAACAGGACTGTTGTTGTCCATCTGCATATGCAGATCAAAAATATTGTTTCCTGAATAAATTAAAGCTGGTAACCTGAGTGAAAGCCAAGATTAGTTTCACTGGTGAAATTCAATTAAAAAAGTTATCTGTCAGACATCGATCCACCAATCCACTGATTATCTGACTAAGATTTTTATTCAGTGCGTAGCCTACAATTGCTTTGAAGAAACTAAATAATAATTTAATTTGCCATTAGCCTAATGGAAAGTGAAAGTAGTATGCCTGTCTTTCAGGGCTCTGGTGTCGCCGAAAGATTGTCGTGTAAAACTAAAAGCCTTCACAGAGTTGTGTTGATTTCATGACTTTTAAACCCTGAACTGCTTTAATGGTTCAGTGTGTAAGATTTAGTGGTATCTAGCGGTGAGGTTGCGAATTGCAACCAACTGTCCTACTACTGCCCCTACCCTTTCAAGGAGCGTAGGACAGCTACGGTGGCTGACACAGGACAAAAGGTGTCTATTGACAGTAGAGAGTAGTCAGTCAATAAAGGAGGTTTGTTTAGGTAGATTTATTAAGAAATTGGTGGAGGTGTTAACGACTCTACTTACCACAAGAAAAGCGGCAGCGACCCGACCTAGTTTCTCAGTCACTGGGTGAAACAAATGACATCACCAAATCCTCAATCACATCTGATTGGTTGGTAGATCTGTCGCTGTTGGTCACCCTGGGCCTTTAGAAATACAGGCTTGCGTAAACCCCTCCCCAATAATGTTAATGTAGAACTAATAACCCTGAATTAAATAAATTCTTTACTCAAACTCAATAACAAAATCCCTTCCCCGAGAAGTGTCTGCATGATTAAAATTTATTATTTTTGAATACGTTTCCTGTCAAATCGCACAATTTTATATTGTATTTTTTGTATGTATTGCCTGTCCTGACAGTGGAGCCGACCTGAGAGTGGAGGTCTGCACCGGAAGTGTTTCCACAGTGGAGGTCTGCAGTTGGACCCTCTTGAAAATTCCCGTAAGTAGCCGTTAACCTGAACTTCCACAGCAATTTAATGTGACATTAACTTGATCATTAGTGGTTTTGCCTGCAAAATAAAAGCGCAAGCAGCTTGTTTGCTGTAATGCTTTACTTGGAGTTGAATTGAGAGCTTTTACTTGGAAAACTTCTGAACAGCGTTAAAAGTGTCTGTAGCTTGCTTGACACATCTCTGAAAGAGCTGTCAGAAAACGTGATTCCCCTAAATGTAACCGAAACCAAAACAGTGCAGCACACGCAGTAATGTGAGCCTGAAACACAGTCGCTGCAGAGACCATTTGTTGGAGAGAAAAAAATTGTCCTGAGGTGGGATCGAACACACAGGTGAGAGTCCAGTGCTTTACTGATTGAGCTAAATGAACACCATAACAACAGGATCAAATATTATGCGTTATATTCTCAACGACCATCTAACGGTTGATACAATGCAACACTTATTTGCCGACCCCTGCTGTATATTATTACTTCTTCTTCAAACGTATGTATTCAACGTGGTGATGAGTGTCTACACTGCATGAATTCTACCAGAAGCAGAACAAGAAGAACATAGTGACGAAACATGCTCTGTAGTGCTGCTTGTCCGTTTTCCGATAAACATGAAGACGCAACGTGGTGACATCCATGGAAGGGAGTACCCACGGTTATGTAGATCTAAATGGCTCATTCTAAGGTAATAAAAACATAATGGTTTAATATGCAAGGTCTTTACACACCACTGAAAACATAGTTATGGATTTATGTTGCATTTCTGTTAATAGGTCCTCAGAAATATTACCCACTGTACCTTTAACTTGCTCAAGAGATTGTCTGTCAGGGAAATAGGTGTGACTTTATGCCGCCTTGTGAAACATGTGTTTTAGCTACAAATAAATCCCCATTTATTTGCCAAATTTTTCAACCTTAACCATTGTTGCCTGCATTTTCTTACTGACTGAGACTCTTTGCAGCCTCTTACCCAGCCCCGTCATCTGCTTACAAATATTTCCCTACGCTTTGTTCAACATAAGAGAAGATGTCATTTATCATTATATTGAATAACAGTGGGCTACACACACTACCTTGCGGAGTCCCATTCTCCACCCGATATACACTGGAGTATTCTGCACCGGTTACTTTCAAATAAAAGGTTCATAACCCAATTATAAGCTCTACCATCATCTATCTATCTATCTATCATAGCTCGTTTCCACGCTAAAGGCCAATATGCCAAACTCTATAAAACAATCCCAACACCTTGCTTCTGCATCTGTTTGCACTGATCTCTTGGAAAGCACCCCAGTTAGCCTTGCCCAATTTCTATCTGGGAATTTTCTTTTCATTATTATAATAACCTTCAATAACAGCTTACTTAGATATTACAGGTTAGTTATCACTTCCTATTGTAGTATGTTTTATCACACTCCACGTGCTTAAACCTGCCAATGCACTAGACACAAATGTTAGGTCGAGTGCTGCCTGTGTTTTGTGTGTTTGCAATAAGGGGATGTTAATTTGTTCAGTTTATCTCCTATTGTGGAATGAAATGAACACTGTATTCCCTACAGGCCTTGTTTCTCCACTGAGGACGTCTGAGAAGTTGGAGCTGAAGCATGTGAGGAAAATATAAGCATCAATCACTTACAGTCCCCTCCAAAGTATTGGAACGGTAAGGCAAATTCCTTTTGCCTTTTGTTGTTCACTGAAGACATTTGGGTTTAAGATCAAAAGATGAGTATGAGACGAGAGTTAACCCAAAGTGAACAACAAAAACAAAGGCCTTACCATTCTGATACCTTTGGAGGGGACTGTACTTCTGCTTTTCCAGGTTTCTGCGCCTGGATCAGGGAGACACTGATGAGCCAAATGCAGCAGAACTGAGGCATTATGTATGTCCACCTTGATTAGCCTCCACAAATGAAATTTCAACAAAAGAAACGCATGATTATAGTCGCCATCCTCCTCATTCTCTCCCTGTACTGGATATTGAGGTGGGTGAAATCACTGGTCTGATCTGCTTCACTTTATCATCCAATTCCAACTGTGGCCTTATATGTGGCTCAGATATGGAGGGTCCATATTGCAATTCCTTTTTGTCCCTATTAAAAACCACAGGTGGTGAAAAATAAAATCTGTGACTTAAATATACACTCACTTTGTCAAGCTTATCCTGTATTTATACACAGTTACAGAGGAATGTTTCCCCATTATTTTAAATATACTATATATAAATGTCACCCTTTTTACAGGAAATTCTGGATTTCTTACTGCTCTTGAAGTGGTGTTCTAGTTTTCTGATTCATATTGATTTGGTTATGTGGTAATGGTCTTTATGGGAACAGAATTTACCTAGAAGCTTCAGGTACAAAAACCTCAATCAATGATCACCTTTTTACTTCAGCATATCATTTGATCAGTATATGGAAACCTTTACATTCAGGACCAGCCGTGGCATAGGTGACATAGGCCGTTGCCTAGGACGCTATGCTGTGCGCTAATCAATTCTGCCCATCTGATATAATCATCAAAAAACTGAAGCGCAACCTTTCTCTGTTTGGAACTGTGAGCTGCACTTTACTGGAACTGCTGAAGTTAATATGTGTTTGGATTTGTGGTGGGATTTTTTGCCGAAATAGTAGTGTTATCTGAAGTCAGTCAGACTCGAAAATGTGCAGTTTCACTGTATTGGGGTGGTCTGGGGGGCCTGGCCTCACTCAGTGCAACACATCTCCTTCGCATAGAGTGGATCAGGTTTTTGATTGTGGCCTGTGGAATGTTGGTCCACTACTCTTCAATGGCTGTGCGAAGTTGCTGGATATTGGCAGGACCTGGAACATGCTGTCGTGTACGCCGATCCAGAGCATGTGCCAAATGCCATCAAATATGAGCATTTGCCCACCAAAGCCGGTTATGACGACTAACTGGAGTCAGGTCGAGACCCCGATGAGGACGTCGAGCATGCAGATGAACTTCCCTGAGACGGTTAATGACAGTTTGTGCAGAAATTCTTTGGTCATGCAAACCGATTGTTGCAGCAGATGTCCGGGTGGCCGGTCTCAGACGATCTTGGAGGTGAAAATGCTAGATGGGGAGGTCTGGGCTGGTGTGGTTACACATGGTCGGCAGTTGTGAGGCCGGTTGAATACTGTCATATTCTCTGAAACGCCTTTTGGAGACGGCTTATGGTAGAGAAATGAACATTCAATTCACGGGCAACAGCTCTGGTGGACATTCCTGCATGCACCATGCACACTCCGCATGAGAGCTGGCATGATGCGTGTCATGTGGCTGTCCGGCCACTTTGTCTGTCAGGAGAGCCCGGGGTCAGGGCGGTGTTTGGCTGCAGCGTGGTGCAGGTGGCAACCGCTGTTACGAGGAGAGCCCCGTGTAACGCTAGGGGGGCGCTAAATTAGCTGAAGAGACCCAGGTAGGGATTAGCTGTGTAGTTGGTGGGATTTAAACATGTTTTCTGTCTTTTACACATACAGAGAAAATACTATGAATGCAACAACTGTATAGAGGTGTGTTTAGTTTGGGTTGCAGGTATTGAGTCACTGTCTTGGTGGTTTTCTTTTCCTTATTTTGTTCTGTTATGATGGTCTGGCTTAGAGCTCATCCTGCGTGTGGGATAAACTTGTTCCTAGAACACTGACTGTGAGCTCCCCTTGCACTGGGTTAATGTGTCTGCTGGTCATTATATTTATATATCTCAGCCAACCTGTCTCTTTGTGCTTCACATAGTTTTAATACCTATTTTTGATTAATAAAGGTTTAGATTTTAAGATAACTGCTTTCCAGTCATACTTGCCTTCAGGGTGCTAGGGACCTGTTTGTGGCTCCAAGGGCAGCCTCCACTTTCTTCCCATTTCCTAGCTGTCCATCAATTGCATTTCACCTCTTTAACCAAGAATGATAAACCTAGAGACTGATTTAATGAATTTCTTGGGACCACTGGGTAGTAGGATTGGGGTAGTTTGCTCTAAGGGTTTTCCTGTCTGTAGGTTAGAAATTATACTGTAGATTGCATGTGCTTCATTTTTTGTAGTATTTTTTAGACTGTGTTAGTACTGAAGACTAAAACTAATACAAACTAAACTAAAACTAAGCATTTTCAAAAAATAAAAACTAAACTAGCAAATCCACGTTAAAAACTAATTAAAACTAAACTGAAATTTAAAAAATAACCTTGGTTACAAGTCACAGTGGAAACACCTGACATGTTTTTAAAAGTTTTACATTTGGCTTAGGTGGAAACATTCATGTACTGATTTAAACAAAATGCAACAAAGTGAATGGAAACAGACCTAATGAATAAATAATCATGTACTTATGAAGTATGTGACTTATTTGTAACTCAAGATTCCTGTGAAAGGACTACAAATATTAGCAGAACAATAGGCCTTATAATCAGTCTCCTACTCTCTTTCCTCTTGAATTGTTTCTTAAACTTCAATTGAAGATTTCTTGTTAAGAAAATGCAAATATATATATAATGTGTATGACCTCATTAAAATCATTTGCTGTGGATACACAGGCTTGAGAGGATCTTGAAGAACTTGACCACGTCCTACAAAGCCCCCACTAAGAAGCCAGTGCAACTAAAATTCCCTCCACACTGTGGTTCAGGATATGTAGGTAAACTAACCAACGCTGAATATTGCTCACTGAAATGTAAAATATCTTTATCTGACATCTGTCTTAAAGAAATTATCTTCTATCGCTTCCTGTTTTCCTCAGCTGCTTTTTATAATCAAATTTCCTATTTCCTGTTCCTCAACTTCTCTCTCATAATGCCTCTCGAGTCCCAATCGTTTAATTCACTGTCTTTAACTGTTTCTGTTTTGTTGATGTTGGAAATAACATTTATTACTTTTTTTCACATTGGGGGATTCAAAATGTTATCATAAGTGTTATACAGTCTATTCCAAGACTGATCTGAATGTAAGATGTACAGCGTAGTAACAGGGTATATTTTACATCAATCAGAAAAGTGGAGTAGAAAGGTGGGTAAACATTCATCTGTTAAAAACATTGGCATGGTGAATTTCTCTACATTTTGTATCAAATACAGTTATCAATACACACTAAAAAAACACTTTGCTAAGCGTTACTATGGAAGCCCAGTATTCATGTTAAATAATGTTTTGACCAACATGAGATGACGTATAAATAGCACCCCACTTTTAAGGACATTTTGCGTGTCATTTATTGCTACTTCAGAGGTCAGGTTACCAATTGTTAGGTGATCTTTGTTGTCATGGTAACAATAATAAAGACGTGGTTAACGTTGTGAAGGAGTCGCAGTTTGGTTAGGTTTAGGGAACAAAACTACTTGGTTAGGTTTAGGCATAAAACTACATGGTTTAGATTCAGATAAGGGTTCGGGTTTAGTTTATTTGACCCACCCACACACCCACCTACCTCACAATGTCGGTCATTCTTTTTTCTTATGAGATTCACGCATCAAATGACGCCTTTTCTACACATCAAGTAAGTACAGACTACAGGTGAGAAGCAAAAATGGCTGGAAATGCAGTATAATAGGTCCCTATTATACTGCATTTCCAGCCCTATAAAGGGTGGCGATGGTGCAGTGGATACCACACATACCTCTGGTGTGGGAAACCCAGGTTCAGTTCCAACAGAAACATATCCACCAATGTGTCCATGAGCAAGACACTTCCCCCAAAGCTGCTTCAGAAGTGCGCAACCTCTGATGTGTATAGCAATTGTAAGTCTTTTCAGATAAAAGTCTCTTATTAATTATCATATTGTAGTTCTGCGACGCCTCTGATAGCTTTGCATAAATCAAAGTTCAAAAAATCTTATCTATCTTATGCAGGTTCTAAATGCAGGCCCACATTTCAGCCTTTGTCTGAAACAAGCTCTAGATGGTCCTGTCCCCCCGCCTCTCTGTGATTTACGGAGTTTCCTGATGAACAGAAAGCGTGACTGGTTGCTGTTATCTAATAAGCTCAGCTAGTAGTGCAACTAGCGGTCATCGCTGGCTCAGCCCGGACTGGGAGCAGGGAGCACCTGGGGAGGGTGTTAGTGTTTAAAAGATGCTCACAATTCTTTGAGCTAGAGTCCAAGTCAAGTCTCAAGTCTTTCAAGTAGAGTCCAAGTCAAGTCTTATGGTTATAATAAATGTTGCATCACCTGCTGCGTTCAACCCAGGCTGCTTATAACACTGCGTAGCTATAAAGAATTCTGTAAATGTAACCTGTTTTTACATACAGAGCACAACCATGTAATGTGCATTGCAATTAATGACGGCTTTTTAACTACCGTAAGTAAACCCCCACCCCAGACTCTCAAACCCAGTGTAACGTTAGCTAAATAAACTGTAACTTTACATTAGCAAAAATAAAACTGTAACCTGTTTGCAGCCAAGCTTAATAATTAACGTGAAGGCAGCCAGTGAGAGGTAAATGGTTACTTTAATCAACTAACGTTACCACATGTCTGGCAAGTAAACAAACGCTCATTCATCTTTTCATAACGAACGGCAGTCAGAGTTAAACTCCCGTAGGCCGTAGCTAAAGCAAGAAGCAAGCTCACGTTAGATGGCCAATGCTGAGCTACTGACTGTTTTCTAACCTATTTAGGTTACTAACCTATTTAGCATTCAGCGCTTCTTTGGGTCTTGTATGAAGTTTTAAAGCAAAAGTTTATGATGAATGGCACAGCAGCTGCCGGTGTCTCTCGCATGTGGCGGTGCGCAGCAGATACATAGTTGTGTCATGTAGGCAGGTTATAGGTAACGCAGCAAGCTCATCAGACGTTTCCCAAAAATAAACATCGTTCCTGAGTCCCGCACCTCGAGTCCAAGTCAAGTCTGAAATCTTTTGAAGACAAGTCTCAAGTCTGAAGTCACTGTGTGTGCGACTTAACTGCGACTCGAGTCCGAGTCTCAAACTCGAGAGACCCCATCTCTGCGGACTGGATCTGTCTAGTTAGCTAGGTTAGCTGTGCAGCTGGCTGTCCTATTAGTTAACTCAACCCTGTGGTGCCAAGAGCCAAACCCGGAAAGAAAACCACCTCGTTACTGTATTCCCTATTAAACCGCAGTTAAACTGGCCTCTTGTCGGTCTCGGAGGATGTGTTCGGTCCCACTGTGGCCGCAGTTTTCACTCACTGTGAGATAAACAAGTCTGCACAGAGTCTGCCTGACGGGGTGCGGGTGTAAAGCACATTCAGCGCTATTTGCTACTGTAAACGGCAGTCAATATCTGCAACAAGTCCCTCCATGTCTTTGTATTTTTAGATACGCAGAGGCAGATAGCACATGTAGCTTAGTAGCTTTCGTGGAAAGACAACTGATGCACCAACTGGTTTTACATTTTTCACGCATGCAGTTCCTGAGGGAGAAAAGGTGGCAGTCAAAAGCACGAAGACAGTGCTGTTATCAGCTTATCGGGAGCACCGCACAGGACAAAATGAGGTCAGTGAAGAGAGCAGGGCACCAGTTCTGCCAAGTTTTACTCCTTGTGATGCTCAGTGAATGCAACATGGCAATAATACAAATGGGTTCTCTGTCCACAATTAAAAGTGCCTTGATAAAATGGTAGGTTATAAGTTTACATGCTGGCCATGATGTTGTAATAACATCCATATTCTTGTCTTCTGGTGTCAGGTTCGTGTTATTTCAGTGATGCTGAGGGAAAAGACAGAAGCCTATCGCTGTCATCTCTGTTGCCAGGAAAAACTGCACATCTCTAAAAGCGTCACCAGCCTCCACAGTGATCACTTTGGGTTTAAATACGGGACAGCAGACATCATGTGTCCTGTGCCCTCAGACTGTGAGACCCCATCTCATATCGCTGTGACCTCTGCTGCAGACGACTCTGAAGGTAAAACCCAAAGATATTTCATTTACTGTCACAAAGGAGAAAACAAGCAACAAATTTTCGCAAGTGAAAATCTGAAGCAATAAATATTTGGCATTTTTGTTATAACATAAACAATAAATCAATAATCATTTATAGTTGCTGATTCATTTTTTGTCGATCAGCTAAGGGTTTAATTGTGTCAGCTCTTGAAGTTAGTAAGTAATAACTGTCATATTTCTTAATATTACTTCCGAAACAGTGCAGTCAGTAAAGACAGTGTGGTTAAAGTGCTGACTCAACTTTTATTTGAGGGTGTTTGCGTCCAGATCAGCAGCCTAATCCGCCATCTGCGTGTAAGTTCAAGAATATATTACACTACATCCACACTAAGCTGGGGTTGTTTTTGTTAAAATCTCAATCCACATTTAAACGCTTGAACAATGGGAGAATGGTGAAATCTCCGTTTCTTTGTCGTTTTTCGATTAGCAAACAACTAAACCAGCCGATAGCTGCAACCAGCATTATACAGAGAGAGGTTTCTCTGCCGACTCTCAGTAGGTAAAACGGTGTGGCTATGGTGCAAACGCTTGCCTTTGGTTTGGGAGACCCGGTTTTGATTCCCCCTGCGACGACAACCAATATGTCCCTGAGCCACCAATGTCCCTAACCAGCTATGAGGTTATCGATGATCGATTTGGAAGGGACTGATATTAGCATAGGAGTCCTCCGTTACTTTGTGACTTGATAATGAATTTAGAGCTGATGGAATCGCATCCTTAAATTTAGCTGCAGCACTATCAGACAGACATCTTGTATAGAAATTTTTGCCCAATGGCGTGTAGTTCAGCAATAAAAACTCAAAAGGTATCAAACAGTGGTTGGATAAAGAGGGATTCTGTGGGAACACTATTAAATGTTCAATTTCAATACCATACACCAGAACAAGGTCGAGGGTGTGGTTAACAGTGAGTCAGTTCATGAACACTCTGAGAGAAGCCAATGGAATCTAACAGAGAGATAAACGCAGTACTAAAGCTGTCATTCTCAACGTCCACATGAATATTAAAATCCCCTACAATAATAACTTTGTCCGTTTTAAGTACTAAAGTTGACAAAAACTCTGCAAATTCAGATAAGAATTCAGAGTACGGACCAGGTGCTCGGTACACTATAACAAAAAGAACTGGTTGCAGTGATTTCCAACTTGGGTGTGAAAAACTAAGAACAAGGCTTTTTGTGCAACAAAAGTCATAACTTTATTGCTTGATGAGCCGGCTCTGGCCCAAAAGCTCTATTTTCACTAGTTACAAGGCAGCAGTTAGTGTTGACTTAACATTCTAACTTTCCATCTACGTGTGTAGTCGGTAGATTAAACGTGTGAGACCTCACGCAATTTTACTGGACAACATGTAATATATAGCCTACTGTATATTAAGTATTTCAATGCAGTGTTTGTCTGCAGTGTTTGATCCATTTGGTATCTTCCCAGGTGTGTCATTCTCCTCCTATTTGAACATATTGTACTTTAAGAGTACAGTAAAGAAATGTGATTGTCAAAATGTATCTGTTGTTCTTTCCTTAGATAAACTTGACAAAGAGTTTTTTGAGGTGAAGAACCAGAAGTCGAATAGTGGCAGCTTTCCTTACAACTTCACCCTCTGCCTCTCCGCAATGTTTGATTTCACAAACGTTCTGCAGGTAACGTCCCACAACACTGATTTTACATGTAGGCCTATCTTCTTTTCCTGCTTTAAAGTGGAAAATGTATCCTGACCAGTGTTGGGCAGTAATGCGTTACTGTAATAATATGACTTTTCCCAATAACTAGTAGTGTAACTAATTACTTTTCTAAAATAGTAATATTACTAGTTACTAATCCAAGTAACGCTGCGTTACTCGTTACTGAACACTACACCATCCTTGACGTGAATCCACGAGTGCTCAGCAGCTCAGCAGCATTGGACCCATTCGGACTTAACAAGCGCTTATAAGGTGATGAGAGTCTGCACTTTTTTCTCATGTAGGCCTACACCAGTAAATCTATAAGAATTAGACTTTGGCTTGTTGTTTCCATTAAATTAACTGATTGAATTGTGGAGAATCTAACCGATGTAACGATGTGTAGCATGTTCATACTGACATATTGATCATACGTTAAAACATTAATATTTGTATTAACAATCTAAGCAGCTTAGAAGCAGCTAAAGCGGGCGACCCTGTGGAGTTCAAGAGGTTTTATACATCCAAAGAACTTCTATAAAAACCAGACCAGGCATTTAATGGAGAATTTAAAGAAACATACAAAAATAAAATCTCCCATTCCCATGAAATCAAAATTGATATTTAAAGGTTTTAATAAGATATGTCTTCTGATATGTCATGTCTATTATCTGGCCCATCAATGACAAAAATGTTGTTTAGTGAAGGGTTCGTACAGACATGAAAAACCTGGAAAACTCATGGAATTTGAAAAAAGTTTTGGAAAGAAATAAAATCCCAAAACTTTTGGAACAGTCATGGAAAGTAGTGTCATTAATAACACAAATAAAGACTGTGATTTTCCAGATTTTCCGGCCAGATAATGTGCCTCATGTCAATCATGTACATCTGTAAAAGTAATTGTAATGCTAGCTGCTCTGTCCTCTCTTCTGTGTGTTTGACCGAAGGCGAAGCTCAGCTCGTACACACAGTGGTACACACACACACACACACACACACACACACACACACACACACACCGGACAGCAGTGGAGGCAGTGAAGCAGTTGAAGTGAAGGGTAAAAGTAGAATATTAAAGCAATGTTTCCACTAGTGTTGTAGTAGGCCTACTCGAGACTGGTCTTAAGACCAGTTTTTGATGGTCTTGGTCTCGTCTCTGACTTGACCGCATTTGTACTCAGTCTTGTCTCGGTCTCGGACATTGAGGACTCGGGATTTTATTTCAAGACCAGTCAAGACCATAACTTTGGGAATATCAATAAATTCCTTTTTTCTGATTTGTTTTTTAACATCCTTGAACTGTACCGTATCTTGCTGTTCTTGCTTGTCCCTGGAATGTCTCAACAAAATACCTGTGTTGTCATGTAGCTGGTCCAGAGTCTGGAAATGGTGCAGTTACTGGGGGTGAACAGAGTTGCCATCTATAAGACCAACTGCAGCTCTGAAGCACAGCGCATACTGGACTACTACACACATAAAGGTAAAATACAGTGGAAGTGGATTATGTTTCTTTAAACTTTTTTGGTACATGTGTGATTGTGTGAACAGTGTGCGCAGAGCCACTAAATGTCTATTAAGTAGTATAGGATATGGAGCGCTAAAAAGTTGTGCTTGAGGTGTGTGCGGTGGGGGTTTGTAATTGAGTTTGTGTGTCATGTAATGTTACGTTCATCAGACGAAACTAAACGAAATATATTCGTCAACAACCTTTTTTCCCCTGACAAAAACGAGACGATGATGAGACAACGACAATGTCCTTAGACGCTGACTGTGACTAGATTGCAATATTGTTGACATAGCTACGCACGTAGTATGGAGGACAAATTTCTGACAAATTCAGAAATAAATAAATGCTCAATAAATAAATAAGCATCCGATTGAAAGCACAAAAAAATAAAGTAAAATAAATATAGGCAGTAATTAATTATACAAGGAGACAAATGTATATATTTATTTTAATTAGCTTCTTTACTTATTCACCTTTGTAATAATTACTGTATTTATTTATTGTCCGTTATAATCTTCAACTTTATTTATTACTTCTTTTTTAAATGTATTTATTTATGTGTGTTTTAATATTTGTCTGTTTTATTCTTTCAGTCTGAGGACAATTCTACCAGCCATGTCTTCCTACCTTTTCGTGTGGACGCTCTGACAGACAGTGTTTTCAGTTTGCTGCATGCATGGCACAGAACTGCGGTATAGGGAGAAGCACACGGTCAGCTAGCTGCAGCTAAATCTGGTGATCTGATTTTGTCCCAGGATTTGTTATGCATTTCTTCTTCTTCATTACATGATTTAGAATAATAAGTTGAGAAATGGGTCTGTTCATCCTGCACTGCAGCAGCTATTAAAGACCATTTAATCCCAAAAATGCTTTTCTTTAACTCAGGCTGGAGCGGAAAACAACTTTTTAGGACTCATAGCTAAACAAATTACATATATTATTCATAATATTTCTTACTCACCGCAGGTAAAGTCACTGCATCGATCGACACAACACCATGGTTGAATTTTCACCCTGAATGGCGTTTTTGTTGAAACAGCAGCTGATAACAGCAGAGAAAGGAGCTGCTCCTGTGGGAGTATTTACCGTAAATACTCGAATAGGAGTGCACTCCAGAGTTAGCTGCGGTTAACTGACCATGTGGCTCTCAGAAACAACAGCTCACTTTCCTGCAGTTCTGTGTCCGTATAAGTCGCTAAATGAAAACTCTGTAGGTCAGAGCGTCCACTTGAAAAAGAAGGAAAACATGGCTGGTAGTATTGTCTTCAAATAGAGTTGCTAAACACCTCAGCACACTGAAGAAAGCCATCTGACTGTGTGAGGAGCAAGCTTGTTGATGTGGGCAGGTAGAGTAGGCCTAGAGCTCTCCCGTCTGACTGGTCCACCAACAGGGGAGAAGTTCACCCCTTGAAACACAGCCCCTCATTTGCATAATGAGGCAGAAGGAAATAAATAGGGCAGAAAATGCAACGGAAGAATAAAACAGACAACAATATTAAAACACACACATAAATAAATACATTTACAAAAAAAGTAATTAATAAAATAAAGTTGTAGATTATTACGGATAATAAATAAACAGAGCCATACTGCCAAAGATAACTTGCAGCAGAGAAAATAAAAGTTTCTTTGATTAAAGCTGTACTAAGTGAACGAAAACCTCTTGGCTGCTAACACATGTCCTTCAAATCTAATTCTTTCAATGTTTTTTTCAGGTTTAGTAGAGGTGATTCCGTGGTCTCTGTCCAGATTTCTGAATGTATCTCGAGGCTGGCTTCCTGAACACGGCCCAGGTGACCTCCACTACTTTGGCCAGATTGCTGCTCTCAATGACTGCGTTTACAGATACATGTACCAGTCCAGATACGTGGCCCTGCACGACATAGACGAACTCATTCTGCCGCAGACAGTCGACAGGTAGCACTTTCTTTATGGGAGTCTTTTGATAAATCGACCTCTGGGAAATGATTCCTTCTATCAAATTAAGTTCTCAAGTTTACAGTTAGTACACTGACAATATGAAATACAGTCTCCGATCACACACTCCTGAGGAGTGCTTTACATTTTTTAATATTATAAGAAGATATTATAAGAACGTGTAAACATTAATAAAGTGTTACTTTCCTTTTCAGAGTAATAAAACGCTAAAAGATTTCATAGTTATGAGTAACTATGTATAATAAGGATAATAAGGATAAACAACAAAGTATTTATTATATACACATTAGATTGTATTCATAGATGTTTAAAATGGTTGATAGATTTAACTACTTTAAATACATTATATCTTAATGTAATCATAACTATCTTATTATCTATAATATGTATACAGCAGTAATTGATGCTTCACAGAAGAACTTAATGGTGTTTACAAATGCAACACTTTAAAACATGTGTATATGTGCTTCATACTTCATTATAGTAAAGTATGGTTTTTGTTCTTAAAGCATTTATAAATAGTTTAAAAACTGCTTCTGAGTGTATGTGGGTGGTGTTTAAAAAGTGTTACCAATATATATTTTTCCATTGTTCTATTTACAGTTGGTTGGAACTTTTTCCTCTTCTACAAAAGAAATATGACCATGAGTGTTACATATTTGAGAATAACGTGTTCCCCAGCACAAATTTCTCTCCTCCCACCTCCAAACTTTTGTGGAACAATGTGACAGGGGTGAACATCCTGGCTCAGCTGTACCACATACCCCTCAATGAAAAGACTAAATACGACGACTACAAGATCATTGTCAATCCACGAGGTGTTTTCTCTGCGACCGTCCACGGACTGCTGAGCTCACAGAACGACTGCTCCTGGGTTGACAGGAATATAGCACGGATGTACCACACAAGGTAAACTGATGGTTGTTTACGTCCTTTTCAATTCCTATGTGTCATGATTGCACCGTTATTTGTTGGGACAATGTGAATCTGAAACCATTCCTTCACATAATTGGATCAGGAACTTGTTTCAGAAAGCGGGATTAGTGAAAATATAGAGTATGTTAAGCCTCAGATGAGGGAAACTCTGGGTTTTCTGTTTCAGACAGCGAGGTCAGATAAACCCTAGATCAGTTACTCCGACTCCTGGGAGATTTGAACTGAGATAAGGATTCATTAATTGGTGGTTGAACTGTGGGTTTTGTATTGAGCGCTTACTGTATAACACACTGTGGTGAGTTAGTTTTCCTTATGGTCTGTAGGCCGACCTGATGATATTATATCATATTATTAAATGCCATGACTTGACTCAAATTATCTTTCTCATATTATTATAATTTAATATCTTCTCCACCATTGCTCATAATAATTCTACCCAATTCATCAACACAAGAAAGAACAGTGTAGTTCTATCTAATGTTGTGTTGGTCATATTATAAACTGATTTACTGCTTGTCCATTTTGAATAATACAGAAGGTAAAGAGCTTAAAAATGAATCGCTTATTAAATCGCAATCGCAATATTTTCCAAAATCGTTCAGCCGTATTAGGTTCACAGGATAAGTTGGAAAACCATCAGTTTCTCTCTGACTCCTCCCCTCCTGCGGAACCTGAGACGGCTGTCTGAGAAGGTTTCATTATTCACTCAACATTATTAGTTTTATTATCCAAACATGAATCTTGAATTTATTATCAGTCTGTCATTGATATGGACAGAGAGTTATCTCCGCACATCGTGGATTTATCCTCAGCACAGAATATAATCTGTCTGTCTTTAGGTATAACACTGTGACTCTGTGGACAGTTGCACTGAAAACATTTACTGTGGGCTACATTACTTTTTTACATCACTTTTTAAACTAATCTGTATAAAACTGATCAATGAACAGTAATCTTTCATATTGTAGTCGCACTGATTGGAACATTCCTATTGTAGTTATCATACTGGAGATAATGTGACTATTTATGTTTAAAGTGAGTTTTTCATTATTAGTGGCATATAGCCCATTCAGAATGTGTGTGTTAATAAAAAATTTGCAAGATTTTCTTAGTTAGTTTGATCGATACATTTTCCAGTGCAAAAAAAAAGGCTAACCTACTGTGTGTGACTGACTTTACAATCACAGGTTCACGAGTAAACTGTCTTATATTTGATCTATACCTATTTTCAGAATAAGGTAGCCGATTGCCACCAGCATTTTGTCCCGTCGGGTTACAGCTTAATAAATATATCCATCCTATTTAAATTGAATATAATGGGCTGTAGGAAAATTCCAGCACTTTCATTAATGAAGGAAATTCCAGTCTGGTAAATGATGAGCAACGCTGTATAAAGTACTAGTAAAGTACTAATGGTAAAGTATTGATCCTTCCTCTACTCCTGCGTTTTAGAGCCTATTAAAATGGAGGCTCTGCCTTTATTTACCTGTTGCCATGATGGATTGTAGTATCGGAGCTCCATTGATGAGGCTTTTTTTCATCCCCACGCACGCGTTTCCATCAGGCTCAACATACTCAGAGTTGATTGAACTAATTCTGATCAGCTGTTCTGGAACCGAAAATTCAGTTTCCCACCTCAGGCTCATCAACTCAGAGCTCAGGGATAAGCTCAGAGTTTCAGGGCCCAAGTAACTGCAAGGAAAAACAATGAATTAAACAAATTTAACCATGAGTTGTTTTAGTAAGTGTTTTCAGTTGGTGCCACTCTCCTTACTGCACATGCATTTAAGACCATTCAAATAATAGGATGAGACATGTTAACGGAGGTTTATTATGTTTGTTTTTTTTTATTCACTGAGGTCCCACAAAACTGAGATGTTGAGTTTTGTGGGGGAAATTATGTTAAAAGCAGGTGTAAACATACAACCAATTTAAATTTTTTTGATTACATTTTACATATTAATCATTGGTTTCGAGACAATCTCTGGAGTTAATGGAACAATACAACGCACCCTATACTAAGATAAGATAAAATTTAGGAATATAACCCTCTTAAAAAGGGCCTGCATTGGACCTATTCATATCTGAGACAGCTGTCACTGGTTATCCCTTCCTGGTTGTCACCATCAGCAGAGGCTCCAGTCAGCAGTGTAGTTTTCAGAATCAGAATCCGCTTTATTGCCAGGTATGTGTACACATACGAGGAATTCGACTCAGGATTATACATTGCTCACGATGTGCTTACTCGTACAAAAATACCATAACACAATAATAAAATAATAATAAAATCAGACACAAACTACACTAATATACACACTATGAACAAAACAATATAGACATATTGACAAATAGTGCAGTGATCAGAGTGCAAAGGATGCCAGAGTAAACTATTATTCTCATTATGTACATGTTGAAGGTGGAAATGATATACAGGTACACGTACATGTACACAGTGTGATGGAGCATAGTGCAAAGGATGCTGGAAAAAATAAATAAGACCTATGACCTTATGACCTGAGGTAGGTGTATTGGTATACAGTATACAATATGACATGGTGAATAAATAAATAATAAGTGGAAACCAGTAAACAGGTGGCTGATTAGAGGCAGAGTTACTGGGTTATTGCACAGGAATTGTTCCAGACCCTGAGTCAGAAATCAGCTGTTCATCAGAGTGATGGCTTGTGGGAAGAACCTGTTCCTGTGTCTGTTGGTTTTGGCGTACAGTGCTCTGTAGCGCCTATCAGAGGGGAGGAGCTGGAACAGGTTGTGTCCGGGGTAAGATGGATCTGCAGTGATGTTTCCTGCCCGTTTCCTGACTCTGGAAATGTATAACTCCTGAATGGAGGGCAGGTTGGCACCGATGATCTTTTCTGCAGTCCTGACTGTCCGTTGTAGTCTGCTCCTCTCCTTTTTGGTGGCAGATCCAAACCAGACAGTGATGGAGGTGCAGAGGACAGACTGGATGATGGCTGTGTAGAACTGGATCAGCAGCTTAGGCAGGTTGAGCTTCCTGAGCTGACGCAGGAAGTACATCCTCTGCTGGGCCTTCTTGATGATAGTGTCAGTTTTGGGCTCCCACTTCAGGTCCTGGGATATAGTGGATCCCAGAAACCTGAAGGATTCCACAGCAGACACAGGGCTGTTGAGTATGGTGATGGGGGCAGAGTGGGGGGGCTCCTCCTGAAGACCACGGTCATCTCCACAGTTTTGAGCGTGTTAAGCTCCAGGTTGTTCTGACCGCGCCAGAGAGCCAGCTGATCAACCTCCCGTCTGTAGGCCGACTCGTCACTGTCCCGGATGAGGCCGATGACCGTTGTGTTGTTGGCAAACTTCAGGAGTTTGACAGATGGGTCTCCTGAGGTGCAGTCGTTGGTGTAGAGGGAGAAGAGCAGTGGGGAGAGCACACACCCCTGGGGGGCGCCAGTGCTGATAGTCCGGGTGCTGGATGTGATGTTCCCCAGCCTCACCTGCTGACTCCTGTCAGTCAGGAAGTCTGTGATCCACTGACAGGTGAAGGCTGGCACAGTGAGCTGGGTGAGTTTGGTGCTGAGGATGTCCGGGATGATGGTGTTGAACGCCGAGCTGAAGTCCACGAACAGGATCCTAGCATATGTCCCTGGAGAGTCGAGGTGTTGCAGAATGTGATGCAGTTTTATTCAATTTTAAACTATAGAATTACACAGAATTCTACAATATGAATAAAAGATAATGTTGAGTTTTAATCAAATGTATTATTTTTTCTACGTCATCCTATCGCCCACACTAGAATTTAGCGAGCAGAAGATAAAGATTACACTTTGTAGAAACCCGATTAAAAACATTCAATGGTTTAAATCAATCCCAGTTTAGATTATTATTAAAAGAAATCTGTCATATTAAAGCACTCAGTTGTGCTTGTAGCTTAGTTTGTATAACATTAGCATTTCTGCTTTCTGTCATTGCAGAGCTGGGACAAAAACTGAGCTGAAACCAGACCAGCTGATTTATGATGACCGACTGCTGAGCTACAGCACCCACCTCATACAAACTGTCAATACTGTGCTCAAAGAGAGTGGATTTCTAAATGAAACCAGCGTATAATAGCCTGTGTGTGTGTGTGTGTGTGTGTGTCTAATTCCATACAATTCAGGTTTCTCTTTATCTGCATCGTACTACAGAAATCTGATTCTGAAATCAGAAATGTGGGCAGTGAAAAAATGAACAAACATTTGTGTATAAAATGGTGATGGGCAACAATTAAATTTTTAATGGCATTGTTAAGCATAAAATTAAATAATGAATTCTAAAGCAGTGAATTGCGCACTTTTAATTTAAATGTGCAGTTATATACACAAAAGTTTAATAACGTGTGGTTTGCAAACACTTTAAACAAATAAGGTGCTTTTTACCAGCAGCATTCCCTTTACACAGTAGCAATGAAATATTTCTTGTAAATCACAACTTAAACATTAATGTAATCAAATCAAATATAAAACCAAAGCTATTTTCCACTGCCAGGGCATTACCTTTTATCTAGCTTGTTAAAACAAGTTACCATCAGAGTCCAGTTTTCCTGGGGGGTTTTCTGAACATGCATCAGCAGGTATCTTTTATCAGGGAGCAGCATGAACACTATCAAGATGGACGATAGTGGGGGGGGGGGGGGGGCTATGGTCTTGGTTTTGATCTGGATCAAACCTTCAGTTTGTATTGTTCAAATTTTTTTTGTATAATTGGGATCCTTTTGATCCAAAAAATCCCAACAGAAGGGTGGATTCAGGGTGGATTTTCGGCACAAACTTGACAAAATGTTCCAAATAATACAACATTTTTACCATGTAGTAGCCTATATACACATTTATTTATATTTTGCACTTGATTTGTTTAAACTTTACAGTGATAAAGTAGACATTACCTACAAACCATTCAGTACAATAAAGTAAAAAAATAAATAATCCCCCTAACAGCTGTCAACCTCGAAAAAAACAGTCACTTATTAGTATACATTAATTAAAAAGGCACAATCAGCAGAGGCAAACATTCAAAAGTACTTCGTAACAATTGCATCTCTTATTACAGGTCCAGTCAGCTCCTCATTCTGAGATCTCCTCCCAAAAGCTGCTCTCTGAACTCTGAGTGATATTGTAGTATAGTATTGGACTATTGGACAACACATGCTCAAAATATCCAGTGTATCTGTGAATAATGTATGTATTTGCTTGTTAGGGCCTGAGCACGAACCGTGTGAGGTCCCTATTGAAACTAAGGATTTTGTTTTTATTTTTTTTTCTGCAAAGTAAGCTCAATTTAGGGGGCCTAAACATACTCGAAAACTCACCAAACTTTGCATACATGTCAGAAGTGGTGAAAAATTACGTATTTTATGGGTTTCGCACATGGGCGTGGCAAAATGGCTCGCTACCGCCCCCTACAAAATTGGAAAAAATTAGCCCCTCGGCCACGTTCAACCTACATGCACACAGGGACTTAGTGCCAGCATTCGCAATTTCATTTTAAGTTTCTCCGTCTGAGATTCAGAACCAATGACCAATATTTCTGTTTTGTCCTGATTGAGTTGCAGAAAATGTTCTGCCATCCATGACTGTATGTTTAGGAAACAATTAAAAAGAAGCAGGAGTTTTTACGAAGTGTATTTCAGTGTTTTTCTTCAAATGTAAGACTGCGGGGTTTTAGGCCAGACAATTGCATTAGAATGTTAATTAAACCATTGTTTATCTCCTCTTTGTAATGTGAAGGAAACTGACACCTCTTTCTTTAGTGCCAGAAGGATTCTTTTGTTTAACTGTTTCACAGACATCTAAAATTGGGTGTCGACCGTTCTGGAGACAAACCCTTTTGTGCTGTATGATGAGTTGGTACAGCAAGGACTGTTTGTTCCTGTAGATCAAAGGGGGTTTCACATCTGGGATCGGCGCTCTTTTGTTTGACCAAAAGCAACGTAGAACAGTAAGTTAGCCTACACACTTCCTAACTGGGTGATGAAGAAGTTAACCAAACGACCAATTGCTATGGACCTAAGCCATTTGGAGGAAAAAGGACCCGCCAACATACCTGAATGGGTATTAACAATTTCTTTTGTGAGAATCAGGACTGTAAGCTGTAAAATCCTGAAGAGGGGGCAAATTTGTGCTGGTAGTAATTGCACCAAAAGTCAGGTATTACACTAGTCTGAGACTTCAAACTGACACTTTGAGGGAGAAGTTAAAACGAACTGAAAGGTGGGAGACATAGTCCAAGATGACATGTGGCTTTGACAGCATCCTCCTCTCTGACACCACTGACAGAGAAGCTCCACCCAGGGCTGGACTGGGACGGCACTGGGCATTTTTGGCCAGGACGCCCCACCAAAATTGGTCGGACTCCCCTCACCGATACAACATCGTTCCATTTAGGGGGTTAGATTAGGGGTGTGATGAAACACAGAGACGTAACATTTGCACAAGATTGGTGTCCACAAGATCAAGACAAGAATATATTTTAATAGACGTACTATTACAAAAAAAACTTTATAGATAAAATAATTGATAAGGGGGTTTGGAGGTCCTCCCCCAGAAGATATTTAGCATTAAACATTTAATTTCTTGCATTCTGGAGACATTTTCTGCACCAATTTATGGTAGAAACATCTTTAATTTTATAAGGGAAGCACAAAATTCAGGTGGCAGGTGACAATTCACAATATTAAAATATAAGAAAATCTAATGCAGTAATCAGTGGCTTATTATTTTTTGCTAAAGTTACTTTTTTTGGACAGACGTTTTCTTATTGTGCAAATAAACCTTTCTCATAGCATTTTTATTAGATAATCAACATTTCTTGGCGCAAGCTGTTTTTCAGAACATTTTTAACAAATGCTTTCAAAAAGTGGTGGCTACATGTCCAGAGTGTCCCCAGTGTAAGTAACCCCCCCTCCCTGCTCCCTCCTTACAGGTTGAGCTACCCCATGCTTACTACTTCACCTCCACTCTCCTCCTGCTCTCTCTCTCTCCCTCGGCCCTGTAACTTTGTCCCTCTGTTTCGCTAACACACGCCTCTTCCTCTGCCTGGCAGTGGCAACCACAGCTCTTTTACTCTTTTAAGCGCCTTTGCCTGCTCTACGCAGGGTACTGCAGCTGATGTTGAAGCTGCTGCAGCCCCAGCGGCAAACATATCGGTGGTTTTCGCGCATTTGGCGGCAGCATTGCCGTCCTGCAATGCAAGAAACAGAGAGCAAAGGGGGTGGGACTAGTAAGAGATGTGATGTCAGTATAGAATATTACCCAATGGGCCACTGTCCATGCTTTATGAGCCAATCATTGGCCAGTTTTTGAAATACAGTTATATAAATAAATAATTTACTTACATTGGCCCCAAAGATGCGTCAGGCATTTGCCCGGTATGCCAGATTGCCAGTCCAACCCTGGATCTACCCACACAACTCATTAAATATCCTCAGCCATGTCCGGGATGCTGCATGGCCTGCTCAGAAAATAGAGACGGCCCTGGCCCGTCCTGTAGAGGGCTTGAGTGTTCTTGGTCCAGTCCAGTTTATTGTCAACAGTTGTAGCTCGTTGTCTACCTTACTTCGGAAGGAAAAAGACGTCAGTTGTAACAACTTATCAATTTATGAGCTATTGATTTTTTTCTGTATGGAGTTGTGACGCCTGTTTGTTATGTAGCCTATCTATTTATTGTTGTATTGTTCATTCTGTCCTGTACAAGTAGCTAAATGGATGTATTTGACACTCAAGTTTTTGAACTTGAACTTTCCCAACATAAAGGTCTTTTTTTAATTAAATTAATATTCACGCTGCCAGAAAAAACAGCCTGGTCCCTCTAGCTCACCTCTGAGGGCTTGCTCTTTGTACTGACTCAGAGTAATGTCTTAATGTGCCCGCCAGGTGGGGCCAGGGTGTTGTGTCTGGGGGTTCGGGGACGCTGATGAAAGAGAGTGTGAAGAAGAAGGGAGTGTTTTTATTCAGGAAACAAAAAGTTTATAATAACTTTGCTTCAACAGCCACATGTTCTCTGTAGCTCTGATGATGCTACTGGATCCTGTGAGGTGCTTTCAGTGGATTCACACTAAGAAACACTTCAGAACAAGTTCATTTTCCACACACACACACCTCAACTACATCCGTGGTCCACCCTTTGCAGCTATAAGAGCTTCCACTCTCGTGGGAAGGCTTTTTAGAAGATTGAATTTTTGCCTGATCGTTCAGAAGAGCCTTTGTGAGGTCCAACACACATGTTGGATGAGAGGGCCCAGTTCAAAATTTCTGTTGTAGTACATCCCAAAGGTGTTGGATAGGCTTGAGGTCAAGGCTCTGTGCAGCCAGGCAAGTTCTTCCACACCAGACTGGGAAAAGCATTCCTTTATGGATCTGCTTTGTGCACATGGGCATTGTCATATTGAAACAGGAAAAGGCCAAACACAAACTGTTGTCAAAATTACCTGCTGTAGCATTAAGATTTCCCTTAGCAAACACTACACCATGAAAAAACAGCCCCTCCCAAAAGTATCGGGACTGGGGTGTGCCAACTTTTGTCCATATAATGTACTACTGTGTAAGTCGGCCCACAGTGATGCGAACCACCAATAGACCTGCACAAATACCGAGCAACAGAAAGAGTCATCTGCGTTTTGAGTGAGTTTGGAGTGAGATCAAATTGGACCAGTCTCAGTCTGAGGTAAAAAGACCTCTATCACACTCCACCCTGTCTCAGATAGGCCAACAGTAGCAGTAAAGAAGAAGGAATAATGACGGGAAATAAAGCATCCCAATGAATAAGAAGATGTACCTTTATTAATACCCCGTAGGGGAAATTCATGTTGACAGAGCAGTACAAAGAAATCGTAACTAAAGTCTCAGTTACTTAGGGACCATCTATAAATTCATCAGTAAATCTCAAATGTAATATGAAGGGGTGTGTCCCACTTGCCCAGGGTAGTAGTACAATTCAGCATTTGCTTGGAGTCCCTGAATCACATGGCATGGAAGCTATTGAAAAAAAGCATTCTTTTTTTCTTCCATGACTCTGCCTCTTTTCCAAACATCGTCCTTTTGCAGTAAGTAAGGGGTTGTTGGTTTGTTGAGACTATGAGCAGGACTTCTAGACTGGTTCTTGTCTTTGGAGAGGATGCATGCTCTTATTCCCTAATTCTTTCTCTGTTCAGCAAGTTTTGCGCTTCTTATTACTGTTTCTCCACTGAGGATGTCTGAGTAGCTGGAGCTGAAGCATCTGAAGAAAATATGAGAATTAGGGGCACATAGATGAGACTAAAGCTGCAGAATTGAGGCAAAATGTCTGTCAACAATCATCATCAGCCGTCTCCACTAAAGAAGTTCAGATTGTTCATGCACATCAGTGTGGTCATCACCATTTTCTTTCTCACCTTGCTGCTCTGGACCTACAGGTGGATGAAATCACCATGATCTGCTTCAAAATGACAGTAATTCACACATCTTCAGTTTCATTCAACCAACTCCAACTGTGGCATTATACCATTGTCTCTCAAAAAAGTGAATACACCCCTCATATCTTTGTAAATTGATTATATCTTTTCATGTGACAACACTGAAGAAATGACACTTTGCTACAATGTAAAGTAGTGAGTGTGCAGCTTGTATAACAGTGTAAATCTGCTGTCCCCTCAAAATAACACATCACACAGCCATTAATGTCTAAACCACTTACAACAAAAGTGAGGACACATCTAAATGAAAACGTCCAAATTGGGCCCAATTAGCCATTTTCCCTTCCCGGTGTCATGTGACTCGTTAGTGTTACAAGGTCTCAGGTGTGAACGGGGAGCAGGTGTGTTGAATTGAGTGTTATCGCTCTCTCACACTCCCTCATACTGGTCACTGGAAGTTCAACATGGCACCTCATGGTATAGATCTCTCTGAGGATCTGAAAAAAATAATGGTTGGATGGCCTAAAAAAAAATTGTATGTTGTAGCATTAAGATTTCACTTAACAAAGACCACACCACATTAAAAACAGCCCCTCCCAAAAGTATTGGGACAGCGGTGGCCCAGTACGTTTGTCTGTATTGTGTATTTGGTTAGGGTTAGTGAAAGATTCTGGTTTGGGTTAAAATATCTACCTGGTTAAGTTTGGTTAACAATTATAGTCATGGTTAAAAGATTCCAACGTCACAGCGGCCTCCCGTGTCACAGTACACACACATTTTGCTGAGCAATACATCCACCCATTTTTTATTTGTGTGTTAAAAGCCACAGTGGAAACACCTGACCTGTTTTTGAAAAGTTGAAAATGTTTACACTTGGCTGAGGTGGAAAGGTTAATGTACTGATTAGAACAAAATGCAACAAAGTGCTATGGAAACAGACTTAGAGAATAAATAACGATCAACATGAAGCATGTGACTTCTTTGTCACTCAAGCTTCCTCTGAAGAGACTAAAAATATTGGCAGAACAACAGGCTTCATAATCAGTCTCCCCCTCTCTTACCTCTTGAATTGTTTGTTGAACTTCTATTTAACATTTCTTGTCAAGGAAATGTGATTAGGTTATATAACCTCACTGTTCATTTTCTCATCATCATGTGCTGTGGATCCACAGGCCTGAAGAGAGCTTCAAGTCCTGGATCCAGTACTACCAACCAACCACTAAGCCTCAAATGCCAGTGCAACCAACATTGCCTCCACAATGTGGTCCAGAGCATATACAGTCCCCTCCAAAAGTATTGGAACAGTAAGGCAAATTCTTTTGTTTTTGCTGTTCACTGAAGACATTTGGGTTTAAGATCAAAAGATGAGTCTGAGACAAGAATTCTGAATTTCAGCTTTTATTTCCAACTTAGGACATATCACCGTTTGTATTAGACCACAGCATTGGCAGTAGCTCAGTCTGTAAGGATAACACAGTCCACACTCCATCCTGGTAGCTGGAGAGGTGCAAATTCACAGGCGAAGGTGGCCTTTGCCTTACTGTTCCAATACTTTTGGAGGCGACTATAGGTAATCTGAACATTACTGAATGCTGGTCACTAAAATGTAAGATGTCTTTGTCTGATACCTGTCTTTAAGAAAATGTTCCCCTTCCTGTTCAGCTGCTGTTTATAATTTCCTATTTCCTGTTCTTCTTCTTCTTCTCTCTCATAATGCCTCTCGAGTCACCATCATTTTATTCGCTGTCTTTTCCTTTGTTTTGATGTGGGAAATAACTTATTACATTTTGTCACTTTTTTTTTTTTTTTTTTTACAGTTGCTGATTTGAAAAGGAATGAAAATCATTGGTGTCATACAGTCTGTTTCAAAGTTTATCTAAAACAAGATGTACAGTGTAGTAACAGGGTATATAGCACATGAATCAGAAAGTGGATGTAAGAGTAGGTTGGTTCTTTTTATGTCCTTCAGAAGTTTTCAAAATAAAAGCTTTCAATTTAACTCGAAGTAAATCATTGCTGTAAAAAATGTTCTCGCGCTTGTATTTTGCAGGCAAAACCACTAAAGAGGAAGTGACAACTGTTTCTGTCAGGACTGAGACCTCTTTCAGCACCACTATCAATGTATTCATTTATTTTTATTTTTTCTGCCACTTGTTACGGCTGTATGTATTTCCCTGTGCTGTGTCCATGTTTTCTGTCTTTCAGTTCTGTTCTGGGAGTGTTCCAGCTAATTACCGAATAAGGTCCACCTGGCCTTGGAAGGTGGGCTTTAAAAGCTGTGCAAGGGGGCCCTTCTTGATTTGGGACTGCTAGCCTTGCTGCCTCCCAGCTGGGGCATTTTTGTGTTATGTTCTTGTGTTTTTGGTGTTCTTAATTTATTGTCTAGTTATGTTAATAAATTCCCTTGATTTGGTTGTTTTAAAGGTGTTTATTTGTGTTAAGTTTGGGTCAGTGTTGGGGGTGTTGTTCGTCCCATGTTGCCATCAAAGCACCATAATCTGGTCACAGGCTGGATATTACTGCTGGCGGGCCGTGGCAGAATAAACATGTTTCCGATGTGTATATAAACGCTATCTATTAAGTGGTTTATAATGGACTGTGGTGCAGAAACAGTGACAATGTTACAAACTCTTGGCTTACATTTTCCATGTTATCAGTCAGTGGCCAAGTTTCAATAACATAGTTTTACTAAATAATTACGTAAATATAATTTCTTAATATATCTAGCTAAACCTCATTTGTCAAGACGATACCTTTTGTCCTGTGTCAGACACTGTAGCTATCCTACACTGAGGTTAGTGAAGAGAGCAGGGCACCAAGTCTGCGAAGGTTTAGTCCCCGTGGTGCTCAGTAAATGCAACACGGCAACAAGTGAGTTCTCTGTCTACAATTAAAAGTGCCAGGAAAGTGTTGCAGATTGTAGCCTCTTTTTCCTATTTGTAGTGGAGATGAGTGGTACCCGGTGGGGTCTTCTGCTGTTGTAGCCCATCCGCCTCAAGGTTGTGCGTGTTGTGGCTTCACAAATGCATACCTCGGTTGTAACGAGTGGTTATTTCAGTCAAAGTTGCTCTTCTATTAGCTTGAATCAGTCGGCCCGTTCTCCTCTGACCTCTAGCATCAACGAGGCATTTTCGCCCACAGGACTGCCGCATACTGGATGTTTTTCCCTTTTCACATCATTCTTTGTAAACCCTAGAAATGGTTGTGCGTGAAAATCCCAGTAACTGAGCAGATTGTGAAATACTCAGACCTCAAAATTGTTTAAATCACCTTTCTTTCCCATTCTGACATTCAGTTTGGAGTTCAGGAGATTGTCTTGACCAGGACCACACCCCTAAATGCATTGAAGCAACTGCCATGTGATTGGTTGATTAGATAATTGCATTAATGAGAAATAGAACAGGTGTTCCTAATAATCCTTTAGGTGAGTGTATACTGAGGCATTGTAGAGCCCTGCATGAAAACAAGGAGACCAACCAAGGTGGACCAGGCTCAGGTAAGCCATTTTAGGATGCTATGATAAGACAGCATGCAAATCTAAAATGACATGGTATATTTGTATTAGACAACATTAACTGATACTGTAAATGTGACTAATTAATGACATATGTCATTGAATACTGGTTTTCTTTGTCATCAGGAGAGAAGAAGGATGTGGATGAGGCCTTGGTCAATATGGTGATTCAGGATTCCCAGCCTTTCACTATTGTGGGGGACAAAGGGTTCAGAAAGCTTGTTAAAGCTTTGAACCCTACCTAATGTTCTCCCAGCAAGGCAGGTGCGTTTGAGAGCACATGTATTTATTCCCTATTTTCCCATAATTGCCCTTCCAAGAGTGTTCCGTTCTTTCCTTTAGGCTCTGAAAGTTATGGTGGAGGACAAATATAAGGAATCCAAGGAGAAAGCCAAAGCCTTGGTGTTGGAGGCCTCAGCAGTTAGTTTAACATCAGATATGTGGACCTCTATCAACACTGATGCGTATCTAGCTGTGATCATGCCATTTTATAGATGCAAGCACCTCTTTGCATTCTGTTGTTTTAGGGGTGCTGCATTTCCCTGAGGCACATACTGCTGAGAATTTGGCACAAGTAAAAGCAGCACTTATGTCACAGTGGGGTTTTACAAACAAAGTTACTTGCCTTGTGACCGATGGTGCAGCAAATATGGGCGCTTGTGCCAAGGAGCTTCGTTTGCGTCACACACTTTAAATTTACTTGTAAAAAAGGCTCTTGACCAAAACACTGTGTTGTCTGTCATCCGGGCAAACTCTAGGAAGATAGTGGGCTATTTCAGGAGCAGCACCACTGCAAAGGTGAAGTTCTTTATTTCACGGCAACATTCTAAATGACACTGTTTTGTGCTGCTGCATTGATACTTGCATTAATCACTTTTTGGTTTTTATGACCTCAGGGAACCTGAAGGAGCAGCTTTGGCAGGACTTCGCACTGACATTGCCCCACTGTCATCAGAACAGTACAATATTATTGCAGAATGTCGAAAAGTGCTGTCCCCATTTGATGATGCCACAGTTGAGCTGTCAGAGGAGAAGAGAGTATCCGGATCAAAAGTCAGTCCCCTTTTGTCAATGCTACACCACTCACTGGAGGAGGAAATGGGAATTCTCCAAACTCCAGAGAGCAAAGCAATGGCTGAGAGTCTGAAGAGACAGTTATGCGAGAAGCTATTCACACTGCAATCAATGAGCATCATGTCACTGGCGACAGTGCTTGATCCCAGGTTTAAAAAGATAGGCTTCTTTAGCCTCAATAAAGCAGCAGAGGCCAAGAAGAGGCTCACTGCTGAATGTGCTGCTGTTATTCGAAACAGCCCGTCCTCCTCGTCCTCCTCACAACCACACATATCAGAAGCTTCTCAGCCGTTGACTCTGATACTGGATATATTCTAATTGTCTTATTGTATTTAATCACTTACAGCCTGTTTGTCTGTCTTAGGTAGCAAACTGTGGCATTGTTTGGACACCACAGTCCTGCAGACTAGGACCCGAAATGTCACTGCAGATGCAACAGTGGAGGTCTAGACGTACCTGGGTCAGAAAAAAGCATATCCCAACTTGTACCAACTTGCTGTTGCTTTACTCTGTACCCCTGCTTCATCTGTGCCCTGTGAAAGGGTATTTTCTAAAGCAGGTGAAATAATCTCAAAAAAAAGAAACCGCCTGAAGCCCAGCACTGTGGAGAAGTTATTTTTAAATAAAAATGAATAAAATGCTGTCTGTTTTAACATGTTGTCCCTAGTAACACAAGCACATTCACATGACAACGCTCTCCCTTGTTTCCACTTTCCATTTTGAACCCATCATTGTATCAGACACCACATTAATAAGTTTATAATTTATGTTTAAGTATCACAAAAATCATTGATTCATGTATTCAACGTTTCAGACACCAAAGCTATAGTGTCACTATAATCACACTGCACGTTTTACATTTATTGTCCACTTGATGGCACAGTAGAGCAAATGGAGCACCATGAAGTTTCAGCACATGAGTGAACCAATTAGATGGAAAGCTTCGATGCTTTATGAAGCTTCATCTCGCCATCACTAATAATTTTATTCGAAATTTAATTCATGTGTGTTACTCTTCAATAGCGTTCTTATCAAGTGAAACAGGCACTTCACTCCTGGTTTCAATAGTAAACCCATAGACTGTAGTCTATATGAAATATAGACCCACAAAAAACACTATATTCTAAACAGACACGTTTAAAAAAACATAATTCACAAAGCACATATTGTATTTCAAACAAACAGGACTTGGTAGACGAGTTAATTTTAACAAAACTCCCTTCACTGCCATGCATCATGGAAATTCTGAGGGACAGACATAGCGCCGCTTTTCAGTTCCATCCTCAACTTCCACTGGAAGGTTTCTGCAGCGCAGCGTGCAGCCTGTCCATGTTAATGACTTGTTGTTAATATAACCTTTTTGTGCTTCTACTACCTTCTTCACTGCTCTATGTGACCCGCTTTCGTTCTGATCATAGACTGTATTTAAGATCTGCAGATCCCACAGGGAGCATTTCAGAATAAGAGCGTTTTGCCTGCCTGATTTTGCTGACATGTTGATTTAGTGATAAGTGCTTTTGATCTTCTACTATGATTAAGTAGGCTACGTAGTTAAATTGTTTATTCTCTGTCTGTTTAAACTATGTTTATTGTTGATATTCGTTCCGGAGTCTGCACAGAGTATTTTATTTTGAAAATGGCTGCGGGTTCTCTCCGGAGAGGAGTGGAGAGACACTTCCGGGGAGAGTTCAATCTCAAAATGTGTTGCTACATTTTGTAGGCACTAAATTCGACCCTGGTGTGCACAAGCATTGACTAGAGTGGGTGCGATCAGCTTCTGCAGCAGTGGACTTTCTAACTGTATAAATGACTTTGTCGCAGGTGGGCCCCGTGATGAAGCTTGCTATACATGTCAGTTCTTCTTACTGGCCCAATGATAACAAAATATAGTTTTATTTTCTTAGTCAACCAGTTAAATTTTGCAAGATTCAAATGTCTTGTGGATGATAGCTTGCTGCATTTGAAAAAAGCTTCTTTTTTTTTCAAATTTTGAATTCACTCAATATTCTCTCTATTTGGGATTAGATAAATATAATTATTATGTTTTATTTAACTACAATGGGTGGATTTTATTCCAAACATTTTTATTTGAAATTTAGTTAAACACACATCATATTGAATATAGTTTACCTAATACATTAATTCAAATCTACATGACCACAGAATCCTTTTTTCCGCCATCTCCTCGGTTCCCTGCCGGATTATTAAGTCTTGTTGTAGGTAACGCTACGAATCGCCTAACCTGCCTCCTATACTTTGTATCAGCTTTGACCCTGTTTTCCCTGTGCCCTGTTGTAGTGTCCCTCTGAGACCCTGCTCTGTCCTGGAATCGCTCTGTCTCGGAGAACACCTGACCGGAGATCTCCCCACCGCAGACGCTCTTCCCAGTCAGCTCTGTTACCCGTCCTGCTTGGCTTTGCTCTCACCTGCCCCGCCACACCGGAGGAACCCAACCCCCTGCATCGAGCCTATCCACCTTATCTTGTGTTCAATAAACCGAGTAAATATCCTTCAGGGAGGGGAGGCAAAGGCCAGTTTAAATGAAATAGTCTATCTGCTTTTAAAAGGGGGCAACTGTGACTGCAGAACGGATACCTAAAGGATATCACAGTATCAGAGCCACTGCCTTAAACACATGAATCTACATAATTTATTCCCTGCACTCAGCTGTAGTGACGTTTCAGGATTTTGACAATGACAGCACTGGCCATGCTCCTTGTAACTTTAGCTTTTACTTCTGTACTTTGCAAATACAATAGTCTAGGTGACACAGTCCGACTCTAAAATCCATCACTTTAGATTGCTGCGTCAGGGCGCACACAGCAAAGCTGCTGCAGCAACTCGTGTCTGTGTTGGGGAGAAGCATATAAAGAGATTTAATATGTTAATATGGAAAGAACCCTTGTGTGGTGTTCATATTTTTGTTATTCAGCCAGTGTTTGTGGGTCTGGTGGACCCGCTGCATTTTGGGGTTTTTAATTCAACACAATCAAACAATTTTATGTTAAAATACTCAACAGATGTTTATTTCATCCCAATTAAAAGCAATATAAGCAGCATATATGGTTAATATTTTCTCTTTACCTTTGTTAGATCACATTTAAGAATTAAAGTGCTACTCGTTTTTTTGTTTATTTTTTACTAAAATGACATCAAAAAAATCTATTTGATCATTCTGAAACCTCTTCTTGTACATCATCAAAATCTTCTGTCTCTTCCAAAATCAATTGCAAGGCCCTCTGAGCAGCGAATCTTTTGGCCATCTTGATCAGTTGTGATTGTGTGACCACACTGGTAAAGCTATATTTATTGTGTCCCGCCCCCAATTTAGAGAAAATAAATATTGGTTCCCACAAGACAGAGGGTAAAATGTGCGGGAATGTGAGAGCAGACAGTGTTGATGCTTGAATTTTGCAACAATGTTGCAACTTTGTGCAGGAACTCTTGCACTCACACTTACATACAATCTCTCTCTCACACGCGCGCACGCACACACACATAACACACGTAACACACACATATAGATATGTGGTTTATGGTGACTCTCCATATGCGTAATGGCTTTTCAAACGTACAAACTGTATAATCTACCCCCTACACTAACCCCAGGAATGTGAGAGCAGACGGTGGCCGTGCTTGAATTTTGCAACAATGTTGTGACCTTGTGTGGGAACCGCAGGCGCAGAAACACACAACTCACACACACACACACACTGACAAGAGGAGGACAGAGTAAAGGTACACAGGACCTACAGTTTCCACACTTTTATTAGCCTCGGGTCCAGTGGACCCGGACATCTTGTGTGTAATGTAAATGTGTAGGGGGGGTGTACAGTGTGTTTTCATTGAAAATGTGTTCTGATATATATTCTTCACAGAAAATGAGCCAAGGCCAATGAGTCTGAGTTTGAAAAAATAATCGTATAATTTTTCTTTTGATAAAAAATGAAAACGGGTCCAACAGACCCGAACACCATACAAGGAGGTTAGGTATTAACTGCAAATAATCTTATCAGTTGTTAAACTGTGTACAATGAGGAAACAAGGCGCACAAATTGTGTGTGTGTGTGTGTGTGTGTGTGTGTGTGTGTGTGTGGAGTCTGGATCTGTGGTGGCGAGTCACCCGCTGCCCCCCTGTTCCTGCTCAACACCGGCTTCTCAAACCCTTATTACTAGTCATATTATTATTATTATTATTATCATTAACTTTACTATAATTATCTGTAACATTGTCATTTTCAGTCTGTTCTTCTGTGTGGATATTGTGTTGGCTGCTCCCCCTCCACACGGCGCCCTCTCGCTCCCCGCCCCCCTCGCACTCTACCCCACCTGGTCGAGGCAACATCTCCAGGTCGAAATAAAGAACACACCTTTTGATAACAGATTGCAGTAGCCTGCGCTATCATGCCCAACACAAAAAACTTTTTTTGGTGGTGCGCCTTTTGTCTGTAAACAGGAGATGATTTCAGCCTTCAGCTTGATAAGGTGAGCCTTTCATCATCTCTTTTAGAAATGACAGTAAAATATATCTCAAATAGCCTACAGCCCTTGTAACTGTCACCACAGGGCTTGGAATGACAAGTGCTGATTAAATAATGGGCACTATTAGAACAACATGATCAGTGCAGGGTGATATTACAACATAGTTATTTTGAGTCGTCGGCAGTTGTTTGCAGCCCTTTTGTCACGAATACCAGCTGAATTGGTTTGATGCGCGGATCGGCGGATTCAAAAATCATCTAAACGCCATCCACCCAAATAATTATTTTCACAAATTTAGAGACCACAACCCAATGTACATTTTACTCCACCTCTACCGGTCCCTGTAGCTTTCCAGGTAATTTCTTTATTGGATTGTATTTATTTAGGCTGAGTGTTTTCTTTAACGATTGAATTTAATGGTTAGAGAGGCTGCTGTCGGTAATTTAAACGTTCCCATGCACGCAGTAATGTCACAGCAAATATCGTGGGACAAAAAAAAAACTTTCAGCTTCTGAAATAAATGTTTATATGTAACTACAGCACTTGACGTTAGGCAGTACGCTTTTTTAATTTTTTGTATTTGCCTATTGTAATGCTGCACAAACTCTATACATTGTGGAGTTTAATACAAAAACTAAACTATACAAAACATACAGTAACAATGTTTCTGGCAGAGCTTCTATTTCAGGTTTTATCCACTAGATTGCATTTGAAATTTCCTTTTACCATACATCAACAAAAATGGTCCTGCCTAACTAAGATTGTATTATATTGTATTGTAACATTGTATATTACACTTTTACAATGCATGAACTCTTTTCTGTGACTTTTACAGGCCTTTTTCTTTTTATCATAGGCATTCTTCCCATGTATGTTAACATTTTAAATTCAAGCAACCGAATAACAGTGATAGCTGCCATTAACTTGGTCAACTTGCCACTACACTTTTCCTTGGAGCATCTTGCTTCAGAGTTACAACTTTAACTATTTAGCTTGCATGAAACATATCCAAATATGGTAAAAACAGTACTTCAAGAGAGAAGGAGAGCTGTTTGATTTTGTAGGAGGGGCCAAATGGGGTACTGTGCATCCAGAAAGTATTCACAGCGCTTCACGAAAAAAGCACATTTACATAAATATTGACAGCCTTTATCATGACACTCAAAATTGAGCTCAGGTGCATCCTGTTTGCACTGATCATCCTTAAGATGTTTCTAAAACTTGATTGGAGTCCACCTGTGGTAAATTCAGTTGATTGGACATGATTTGGAAAGGCACACACCTGTCTATATAAGTTCCCACAGTTAAAAGTGCACGTCAGAGCACAAACCAAGCCATGAAGTTCAAGGAATTGTCTGTAGACCTCCGTGAGGATTGTATCGAGACACAGATCTGTGAAAGGGTACAGAAAAAATTCTGTAGCATTGAAGGTCCCAATTAGCACAGTGGCCTCCATCATCCGTAAATGGAAGAAGTATGGAACCACCAGGACTCTTCCTAGAGCTGGCCGCCCGGCCAAACTGAGCGATCGGGGGAGAAGGGCCTTAGTCAGGGAGGTGACCAAGAACCCGAGAGGAGAACCTTCCAGAAGAACAACAATCTCTGCAGCACTCCACCAATTAGGCGTGTATAGTAGAGTGGCCAGATGGAAGCCACTCAGTAAAAAGCACATTACAGCTCTGTGAATGTCCCTGAGCGGCCCACCCAGAGCCCAGACTTGAACCCGACTGAGCATCTCTGGAGAGCTCTGAAAATGGCTGTGCATCGCTTCCCATCCAACCTGATGGAGCTTGAGAGGTCCTGCAGAAGAATGGGAGAAACTGCCTAAACATAGGTGTGCAAAGCTCGTAGCATCATACTGAAAAATACTTGAAGCTGTAATTAGTGAGAAAGGTGCTTCAACTAAGTATTGAGCAAAGGCTGTGAATACTTACGTACAAGACATGCAAGTCAGCAATCAGCTGACTTTGGAAGTTATGTAGTCTGTACGACCCATCAGTGGGACCTGCCACTTATGCTGGGGGCTCTAAGGTCTGCACCTTAGGAGCCCCTGGGGCAGTCCTCTCTGAAAAGGCTATCTCTCAAGACAGCCTTGCTGCTAGCTCTCACCTCGGCTAAAAGGGTGTCTGCCGTGTCTGTTCACCCCAGATGCATGCTGTTTTGTGGTGACAACAGTGTGGCCGTGTTGAGACCATAGCCCTCCTTTGTTACTAAGAACATAAGGACAATACATCTGGATGCCTTCTATCTCCCACACCATGATGGGCACAGGGTGGAGAGACTGCAACTGTTGTGTCTGGTACATGCTTTAACATCTTATGTACAGCGCACAGCCCCCCCCCCTCCAGTTTGTGCTGTCCATCTCCTATTGTGCTGTGAAATGAACACTGCAGTCCCTACAGGCCATGGTTCTTTCAATAAAGGATTCATATTTGTAATGCTTAATTCTTTCTCTATTCGGCAAGTTTTGCGCTTTTTGTTACTGTTTCTCCGTTGAGGATGTCTGAGCTGCTGGAGCTGAAGCATCTGAGGAAAAGATAAGAATCACTCACTTATTTCTGCTTGTCCAGGTTTCTCCACTGAATCAGGGAGACATATATTAGGCAAGCACGGCAGAACTGAGGCAAAATGTCTGTCAACGATCATCATCAGCCGTCTCCACTAAAGAAGTTCAGATTGTTAATGTGCATCATTGCGGTGGACACCATCCTCTTTCTCACCCTGCTGCTGTGGATCTACAGGTGGGTGAAATCACTATGATCTGCTTCAATATGGCAAGAATTCAAATAGCTCAGGGGGTGGAGTCCATATTGGAACTATCTTTTGTCCCTATTAACAACTGACAGCATAGGTGGCGAGTGTGTCACTTTATCAAGCTTCTCGTGTTGTACTTATTTGTATGCGTGTTATAGCTGAATGTTTCTTTTGACCTTTTTTTGACAGGAAAATCTGGATTTGATACTTCTAATGAAGTGGTGTTTATTCAGATTTTCTGATTCATATTCATTAGACTATGTGGTAGTGGTCTTTAGTGCAACCAAAATGAATCTAAAAGCTACACAAAATTTGAGGTGCAAAAAACCCAATCATTTTGATCAATTGATCTTATGATAAGTTTCAACACACTCGTTCTCACTCATTCTGAAAAGTGTGCCACTTTATCATTATAAGGAAATGGGAGAAATCTGAAAGGTTGATCAGGCCTATCAGGTGTCTTTGTGTGACCACATGGTGTTTGTTTCACCACTGGGATTTTTCCTGGGAAAGGGAGTAGGCAAATACTGGGAATCCAAATTTGTTTCCCAACAAGATATGTCTTCAAACAGAGACTGGGCCTGTGCCACCTTTGCTGTTTACTGCCCATTCAATAATCCTGTCAGTACACTGTTTGAGTAGTAGCTGGATTTCACCAGCAGTGCCATAGCTTTGTAGCATAAAGGGAACTACAAACTGTATCCCTTTTACAATCCTGTTGTAATGACAAATAAAATATGTTGGACCTTGTAGTTAGGTGGCTTGTGTAATCAGACAGTTTGATGTCAGCTGACTCTGTAGGAGTGGTCAATGTAAGGTGGGAAAATCTAGTCACACAATAAATTTCATTTAAAGTGTCTTACTTAGGAGAATGTTAAAGTAGGTGTGATGTATATTTTAAAGGTTGTTTGTCTTTCAAAATTGTTACTAATCACTGTAAAAAAAAAGTGAAACTTTTTTTGATCTACCAGCGTGGTTTGCGTTAAAATGTGTACTTTGTTTGGTCTGGGGAACAATCATTGTCATGGTTAAAAGATGCCAACATTGATTGTCAGTAGGATTGGGTTTTTACATTACATTTACTCATTTTACAGACACTTTTATCCAAAATGACTTACATTTTAGGAACAACATACAAGCATAAATAAAGCAACAATAAAGTAAGAGAAATACAAGTGGCAATAGATACTAGTTAAAGCAGCAATATTAGTAAGAGCTAATAGTGCATATGGCATTAATGGGGTAAGTACCTAAAGAAGTGAGTTAATGAATAGTGTTTTCAATACAAGAGATCAATTCAGCCTCTCGGTAGGAGATGTGGCTTGGTAGGAATCCAGTCCAGTGGGCATGCAGTGGGACGGCTACAGGTCAGGAGTTCTGATACCTCGCTCTTTGTGAGAGGAGTAAACAAGGAAAGTGAAGTGCCATTGACCTGGGAAGACAGGAAAAGATAGAAATAGTATTGCTACATGTTAGACTTGGTGTCGAACCTTTTGTGCCATTGGCTGAGGGTATGGAGAAAGACATGTATAATGTATAGTTACAGCCTGCACTTTGCTTGTGAAGAAGGAGGCAAAGATATCGGCAGATAGGTTTGTGGGTGGTGAAGGCAGAGTAGAGATTCAAAAGTGGAAAGAAATTTCCTTACGTCAGTGGCACTGCTAATTCAGTCATTATAAAATGCAGTTTTGGCAGCACTGATGCTGGTTGAGAAGCCCTTGAGGTCGGCAGGGTCTTTGTCTGCTCTGAGATCGGTGTGCGGCAGACGGATGGTATCAGGCAGCGATGGGTGGGACTGGCTGAGGCGAGCAGGTTCGGTGGATAGAGGACACAGTGTCACACAGACATCCAGGCATGAGCTCAGTGTAGAGCACAGAGATTGTGTAGCATTACTGACCTCGAATGAGGAAAAGGTGTTGAGAGGAGGTAGAGCGGAAGCTACTGCTGAGGCGAAGTGAGTGGGAGATGGAGGCTGCGGAGGCTCCAAGTTTTACACTTGGCTAAGATGGAAAAGTTGACGTATTGATTAAAACAAAATGCACGCTTCATAATCAGTCTCCTCCTCTCTTACCTGTTGAATTGTTCATTGAACTTCAATTAAAAAATGTTGTCAAGAAATTACAATCCGGTTATATGACTTCAACAAAATCATTTGCTGTGGATCCACAGGTCTAATGAGAGCTTCCAGTCCTGGACCCAGTACTACAAAGCAACAACTAAGCCTCAGATGACAGCGCAACCAAAATTGCCTCCACAATGTGGTACAGGGCAAATAGGTGAACTAACCATTAATAAATGCTGCTCACTGAAAAAATGTCTTTGTCTGAAATCTGTCCTAAAGAAATCTGTCCTCTTCCTGTTCTCTTCAGCTACTTTTTATGATCTAATTTTCTATTTCCTGTTCCTGAACTTCTCACTCATAATCACTCTCAAGTCACCATCGTTATAGTCACTTCTTTCCCTGTTTCCTTTTTTTTGATGTGGGAAATAACTTTTCTGAATTCAAGATGTACAGTGTAGTAACGATATACAGTCCCCTCCAAAAGTATTGGAACGGGAAGGCAAATTCCTTTGTTTTTGTTGTTCACTGAAGACATTTGGGTTTAAGATCAAAAGATGAGTATGAGACAAGAGTTCAGAATTTCAGCTTTTATTTCCTGGTATTCACATCTAGATGTGTTAAACAACTCAGGACATACCACCGTTTGTATTAGACCACAGCATTCTTAGGTGAGAAGAAGTAATGGAACAAATAATCTTACAGTAAATAACGTTTAATATTTGGTGGCATAACCCTTGCTTGTAATAACTGCCTCAAGGCTGCAACCCATCGACATCACCAAACTGTTGCATTCTTCATTTGTGATGCTATTCCAGGCTTTTACCGCAGCTTCTTTCAGTTCTTGTTTGTTTCGGGGTGTTTCTCCCTTCAGTCTCCCCTTAAGAAGGTGAAATGCAGCGCTATTGGGTTAAGGTCAGGTGACTGACTTGGCCAGTCTAAGACCTTCCACTTTTTTCCCCTGATGAAGTCCTTTGTTTTGTTGGCAGTGTGCTTTGGGTCACTGTCCTGCTGCATGATAAACTTCCTCCCCACTAGTTTCAATGCATTTCTCCGTAAATTGGCAGACAAAATGTTTCTGTCCACTTCTGACTTCATTCTGCTGCTACCATCATCAGTTACATCATCAATAAATATTAATGAGCCTGTTCCAGAAGCAGCCATGCACGCCCAAGTCAATAGTAAGTAATTAGAGTTTATTTGTATAGCGCCTTTCACAGATAAAAATCACAAAGTGCTTCACAAGAAAATGTAAATACATATGGAAAGCATAGAACAAAACCATAAAAAACCCTCGTCTAACTGAAAGCATGCTTGAATAGCAGCGTCTATTGTTATTTGTTAATTTGTATTTTCACGTGCCTTTCTGTATTCATTTGATCTACTGTATATGTGCAAATTTGAAAAGAAAATGAGTTTGTTCACTTAAATGGCTGCCGTCTTTCTTACTAATTTTACTGACTTTTTATCATCTATCATCAAAGCGGAAGGTCCTAATTATTGGGGATTTTAACCTGCATATTGATGATATCACATGCAACACAGCTGCGGATCTCCTATCTGTCACTGACTCTTTTACTCAGCATGTTACTGGACCCACACACATTAAGGGTCACACCCTGGACCTTGTCTTCTCACTTGGTCTTGATATAGTAAAAGCTCGTGTAGAAGATGTTCATGTTAGTGATCATAGCTGTGTGTTCTTTGACATTAATTTTCCTCTGGACCCTCCGCCCCTGGGAATTAGGGCTCAGAGGCGGATTATTAATCATGATGCTGTTGAGAGGTTCTCTGCCTTGTTTGACCCATGTTCACTGATGGGATGCAGTGATGCAGATGTTTTTATCCAGTCTTTTAATAATCAGTGTTTAGCTATTTTAGATAACTCGCTTCTTTTCTCAGCTTATATCCTCTAATAAGCACAATCCTAAAATACTGTTTGAAGCTATAAATACAATAGTTTCTCTTTCTGCCCCTCAAGCAACTGCGTCCTTTAAATCGGACTGTAATGAATTCCTTCACTTTTTTCAGATCAGAGATGTTAGGACAAACATCTCACCATCACTTACTCAGAACTCTGCATGTGACCTGTCTTCTGCTCATTCTTGGTCCTCTTTTTAACCTGTGACATTACATGACATCACCTCTCTGCTACATACATTGAAACCCTCATCTTGTCCTATGGATGTTCTCCTTCTGTGCTATTTGTACAAGCGTTTGATTCTATTGGCCCCTGTATTGTGGCGATGATAAATACTTCACTTTTAACTGTTGTCGTTCCTTGTTTTTTTAAAGCCTGTTTTGTTAAGCCTGTACTTAAAAAGCCCAGCTTGGATCAATTACAACCCAGGAGCTACAGGCCAATATCTAAACTTCCATTCATGTCACAAATTCTAGAAAAAGTTGTAGCAGAACAACTCACCCTTTTCTTAGAGAACGTCTCGTTCTCCGAGAAGGGGAACGAGACACTGTGTCGGTGACGACACTATGGGAATGCCTCTGGGCGTGGCAGGGCTGAACTATGAATGAAACTACTCCAATCCCATTGACGGCGTAACTGGAGGCGTATATAAGCACACCGGCACACCGGACACATTAGCTCTTTGCTATGAAGCAAGGCACTCCAGGCGGGGCGAGGTGTGGCCAACCGACGCAGTGTAACCCGAGACGTTCCCCTTCGAGGGAACTCGAACTGCGTCGGTGACGACACTATGGGAACAAGAATACCCACCATTCCACGCCTCCGCCTCCGCCTGCCCCCCCAGCATGCAAAAACCTGTAGGCACGACTAGGAGGAGAGTGCACGGGTGCCGGGTGCAGAAGGAAGGTCCAGACTGTAAAACCGGATGAAAGTGTGAGGAGTGGCCCAGCCAGCTGCTTCACACAAATCCTGGAGCGAAGCCCCTACGAGGAGGGCCTTAGAGGCCGCCATTCCTCGAGTAGAGTGTGCCCTTACGGCCATAGGTGAAGGCAACCCACGCACCTGATAGGCCAGGGAAATAGTCTGAACAATCCAGTTGCTGATCTCATGTTTAGAAGCGGGGAGCCCAGCCTTGGGGGACCCGAAACACACCAACAACTGGTCTGCTTTCCTCCACCGGGAGGACCTCAGAGTGTAAATACTCAGTGCTCTGACCAGGCAGAGCAGATGAAGTCTCCTGTCCTCCGCCGTCACATGAGGTGGGGGATGAAACACCTGCAGCACCGTAGACCCTGCCAACCTGGACGGAACCTTAGGGACATAGCCCGGACAGGGGTGCAGGATGGTTCTGACCCTCCCCGGGGCAAACTCCAGGCATTGAGGAGAAACCAAAAGTGCCTGGAGATCCCCCACCCTCCTCAGATCCCAAGTGGGAACCCTGGAACGAGTCACGGGTCTCATCCTCCGGGCTCCACGGAGGAAGCGCACAACCAGTGGAAGCCTCCCCAGAGGCCCATCCCTCAGAGGGGTGTGGAACGCCGCAACGGCAGCCACATACACCTTGAGTGTGGATGGGGAAAGGCCAGCACAGAAACGGTCCTGGAGGAACTCCAGTACCATAGTCAAGGGGCAGGTAACTGGGTCCACCGCCCGTTCTCTACACCAGGTGGCAAACACATTCCACTTCAGGCCGTACGTCCTTCTCGTGGACGGGGCCCTGGAGCTGAGCAGCGTCTCGACTGTCCCCGCCGTTAGGCCCGCCTCCAGGAACTGGGCCCCCTCAGGGGCCAGACCTACAGTCTCCACAGGGCGGGGCAAGGGTGAAAGACCTGGCCCTCCGCCTGAGACAACAGGTCCCTCCTCAGGGGGACCTGCCATGGCGGGCCCTCGAGGAGCGATATGTTTGAGAACCACACTCAGGCCGGCCAAAACGGGGCTACCAGCAGTAGACTGACACATTTTGACGGACCCGCTCCAGAACCCCCGGGAGAAGAGTGATTGGGGGAAAAGCATGCAGGCGCAGCCTCGGCCACGTCTGTTCCATGGCATCCAGCCCTAGCGGGGCTGGGGGCGAGAGGGAGAACCACAGGGGACAGTGCGTCGTCTCTTGAGACGCAAACAAGTCCACGTCTATGGGGCCGTCTATCTTTCGCATAATAACTCCACCACCTGAGGGTGGAGTCTCCATTCCCTGGGCCTCAGCCCCTGTCTCGACAGCAGGTCTGCTCCTTGATTCTGGGTCCCAGGGACGTATGTCGCTCTGAGGGACAGCAGTCTCTGCTGGGACCAAAGGAGGATCTGATGTGCCAGTGTGCATAACGGGCGCGAGCGCAGACCCCCCTGGTGATTCAAATAGGATGTGACTGATAATGGCGGGGATAGTGAACATCCTGAACCTGAATCTCCTCCGACATTGGTTCTGGGACCGCAGATCTAAAATCGGACGCAGTCCTCTGTCCTTCTTGGGAACTATGAAGTACCGGCTGTAGAACCCGGACTCCCTGACTGGCGGGTAAATGAGTTCTATGGCCCCTTTCTCCAGCAGAGAGCGAACTTCTTGTCCCAACACCTGGCTCTGCTCTGAGTGCACCGCAGTCCACACCACCCCGTTGAATCTGGGGGGGCGCACCCGGAACTGCAGCCTGTAGCCCTCCATGACGGTGCGCAGGACCCACGGGGAAATGTTGGCAAGGCCCCACCAAGCTCCTGCGAAATCCGCCAAGGGAACCAGCCCCTCGGTGGAAGGACCTCTTCCCCCGGTCCCGGCGAGACTGAAGAACAGTCCTCAGATCCGTTGTCTCGGGGGGCTGTGGGCGAGAGCGCCGCCTCGAGTCCCGGGTGCGCTGAGGGGGACCTCGAGCAGCGATACTCTGCCTCTGGCTCTGGCGGTTGGGGGCCGTCTCTTTCGTAACTCAGAGAGACAGGTCCGTGGCTCTGCGGAGTTCGGCAACGTCCTCCTCAGAGGGGCCTCCTCCTGAGTCCATGTCTTTCAGCAGGTCGGCCTGGTATGCCTGCAAAACCGCCATTGTGTGCAGGCTCGCACCAGCCGTGTACGCCTTGCCCACCAGAGCAGATATCATGCAACATGGCTTGGTAGGCAGCTCTTTAAGGGACGACGCAAGGCCGGGCGAGAGATAGCTGGCCAAAGCATCCTCAACCCGGGGCGTCGTCGGGCGCTGACTGATGACGTTGCTCCGGTACCCGGAAGTCTTCCTCCTCCAAAATGCTGAGCACATCCATCTCCTCAGAGCCGGACAGCTGCAGCATCTCCGGGCTCACACCCTGAGCGGGAGAAGCTGAAAAACCGGCTCCCGAACGGCCAGCAGACGAGGAACGGGAAAAAGCCTCAGCAGTCCCGATGCCGTCGGAAATGTCGCGTTGGGAGCCCCATGACCGAAGCCGCCGCACCGCCTCAGCGACCGCCAGGCCCGAGCCACAGGGAGAGCGCATCCGGCCGTCTCCGGAGAAAAGAGCCGCACAGGACCTCAGCACCCTCAGGGGCAGGGCCTCGCAATGGCCGCAAGCAGCCCCCTCGAGAGCTGCCTGGGCATGCGGCATCCCCAGACAGTAAACGCACAGGGCATGAGCCCGTGATGTAGCACGGGCATGGAAAGACACACTGCCTGAATTGCTCACCAGCCATCTCTTCTGCTTCTACTTCCAGGTAATCTTTCCGTACTGTGGTAGCTTTCTTCTGCGTAGTCTCAAACATGCCAGAGTGCCTGCTGAATTTCAGTAATGCAGTTTCTGTGGAATGCTTTTTACCGAAACCAGACTGGAATTTGTCAAACAGCTTGTGATTCTCTAAGAAAAGGGTGAGTTGCTCTGCTACAACTTTTTCTAGAATTTTTGACATGAATGGAAGTTTGGATATTGGCCTGTAGCTCCTGGGGCGTAATGGATCCAAACTCCAACAGCATGTTTAAAAAAACTTGGAACAACACCAGTTAAAAGTGAAGTATTAATCATCTCCACAATACAGGGGCCAATAGATAATAATAGATACAAATAGCACAGAAGGGAGAACATCCATAGGACAAGATGAGGGTTTCAATGTATGTAGCAGAGAGGTGATGTCCTGTAATGCCACAGGTTTAAAAGAGGACCAAGAATGAGCATGAGACAGGTCACATGCAGAGTTCTGAGAAAGTGATGGTGAGATGTCTCTGATTTTATTTCCAAAGAAGTGAAGGAATTCATTACAGTCCGATTTAAAAGACAGTTGCTTGCGGAGCAGAAGGAGAAACTATTGTATTTATAGTTTCAAACAGTATTTTAGGATTGTGCTGAGATATAAGCTGAGAAAAGAAGCGAGTTCTCGCATTTCTCAGCATCTCATTCAAGGTAACCCTTAGTTCTATCAGACGAAGCCTATGAAACTTGAGTTTAGAAGATTTCCATAGACTTTTCTACAATTACTCCTAAAACTGGATTGTTTCATCAACCCAAGGACAAGGTTTTTTATGGGAGACAATGCTTGATTTCACTGGTGCCACTTTATCTAAAATAGCTAAACACTGATTATTAAAAGACTGAATAAAAACTTCTGCATCACTGCATCCCATCAGTGAACATGGGTCAAACAAGGCAGAGAACCTCTCAACAGCATCATGATTAATAATCCGCCTTTGGGCCCTAATTCTCAGGGGCGGAGGGTCCAGAGGAAAGTTAATGTCAAAGAACACACAGCTATGATCACTCACGTGAACATCTTCTACACGAGCTTTTACTATATCAAGACCAAGTGAGAAGACAAGGTCCAGGGTGTGACCCTTAATGTGTGTGGGTCCAGTAACATGCTGAGTAAAAGAGTCAGTGACAGATGGGAGATCCGCAGCTGTGTTGCATGTGATATCATCAATATGCAGGTTAAAATCCCCAATAATTAGGACCTTCTCCAGTTTGATGATAGACGATAAAAAGTTAGTAAAATTAGTAAGAAAGACGCCAGCCGGGCCTGGAGGATAGTAAATTAACACAGTAAAATGCGTTAAAAGCACCTACTTCGCTCAAGGTAACCAGTTGTTTTAGATCAGCCCAAACAGTGTTACCTAGATGATGACATGTTTCATGAATATGTGACTGGAAATCATTTATCTGTGATTGCTCAGTTAGCTTGCAGGTAACGTGAAGAGCTTGAAGTAGATGTTACCTTTTGCTCAGGTGAGTTCGAATCCAGCTTGACATGATTTTGTAAGTCTATTTTCTTTCATTTCTTTTTCCGTATGTGACTAATGTTGTGCTCACTTATACAATCATGATCGCTGCAGTAGATTAAAGATGCGACTTGAAACTCACCAGGAACATGTTTGTGAATGTGTGACGAATCTGGGAATGGAGTCGCAGCTGCTGCACACAACACGCGCATATGGCAACCAGTTAGTTTGAAAACCAGTAAGCTCACCGGTACTCAGGTGAGGAGGGAGGACACATGAGTGGGGGACAAAAAAGTTTGTCTGTAACTTTCCCAGCCATCAAAGAGTCCTTCCATAGACTCCCAACAACGAGCCATAGTCGCAGTCTTGCTTCCAACCTTACCTCCATCGTGCTTGTATGCTTCAGATCATAAGCAGTTCCTTTCTTTCTCCACACTTTGTCCTTCCCATCACTTTGGTAAGATTGTGTTCCAGAACTTTTGCAGCTCATCTCTGTACTTCTTTGCGAATTTATAATCTGGCAGTCCGATTCTTCCTGCTGATCCTTCTTCCAACAGTGGATTGTGATACCTTCACCCTGCACTGTGGAGGTCGTTGGTGATGTCACATACTGATGTTTTGGAGGTTTTCTTCACAGCTGTCTCCGTATTTCTGTCATCAGCTACTGTTGTTTTCCTTGGCCGACCTGTTGGACGTCTGTTGCTCAGTACACCAGTAGTTTCTTTCTTTTTCAGGACCTTCCAAATTGTTGTGCTTACTACGCCCAATGTTTGTCCAGTGGCTCTGGTCGATTTTCCTTCTTTTCTCAGCTTGACAAAGGCTTGCTTTTCTCCCATAGACAGCTCTCTAGTCTTCATGTTGGTTTATCCTCTTTAACAGGAAATGCAGTCTTTATAGGTTTGAACCAAGGATGAAAACTTAGACTAGTCATGCAGAGCTATTTAATGTTTGGACAATCAACCTAAAAGGCAACAACTGGGCAACAAGAAACATCTGTCAGTCACATGTTTTGCTCACTTGAAAAATGGGTGGGTTCAAACAAAGGGTGGTTTGTCTTAAGTTGCTTAACACATCTAGATGTGAATACCAGGAAATAAGAGCTGAAATTCTGAACTCTTGTCTCATACTCATCTTTTGATCTTAAACCCAAATGTCTTCAGTGAACAACAAAAACAAAGGAATTTGCCTTACCGTTCCAATACTTTTGGAGGGGACTGTATATTACATGAATCAGAAAAATGCATGTAAGTCAGTGGTGGTCAAATTAAGCATCTCTGTGATGCCAGGGAACATAATTCAGAGGCATTAATGTGCTGCACAAACTGCTGAGAAATGTTGGGAATAATTCCTCTATGTACAGGAACTGTGCACCTAACTACAGAAAGATCCAGGTCAGGAAGTCAGTGGATGTTTACATCTGATATTTTGCTGCTCATGTGCTCTTGACCCATCTGACTCCTTTTTAGCGTGTTGCCAGATCTTAGAAGTTAACTTGCTGACTTCAAAGTTACTATTCTTCAGAATCAGAATCAGCATGAGCTTTATTGCCAAGTAGGTTTACACGTACAAGGAATTTGCTTTGTGTTTTTTTGGTTTGTGTTTTTTTGGTTCTTAGCAAACAGGACTGAATAAACATTCTGGATAGGACTGATGGCCAGAACCAAGAAAATAAGACCTAGGTTGTGATAACATACACAGTCCTCCTTTTATTAGTCCTATCCTTTCGCTTTCTATTTAGCTTTGTGGAAAGACAGCTGTTGCACCAACTGGTTTAATGGTTTTCACTCATGCAGTTTCTCAGGGACAAAAGGGGTCTCTTGTGGCAGTCAAAAAGTCGAAGACACTGCTGATATCAGCTTATCAGGAGCACCGCACAACAAACAATGAGGTCAGTGAAGAGGCACCGATCCTGCCAAGTTTTACTCCTTGTGGAGCGAAAACTAAAAGTCGAAAATGAATTTGGCATTAACTAAATTCTTTATTTAAAATGGAGAGCGTACAGTATAACATAAACGTTACCATTTGATGCACTGTACCAGATTATAGCTTCAAGCTAATTTGCATCTGCAGTCCCCATTACGATTGAGCATTTAGTCATTTGGCTATTTAGGATTTAGGATTGGGCATTTAGTCATTTGGCCATTTAGGATTGAGCATTTGGGCATTTAGTATTGAGACGCGTATGCACATGAGGAGGCGCGGCCCAAAGGAGGGAGGGTTTGAAACGGCCAAGGTGCAGAGGCACTTTATGGACTCCAGGGGGAGCTCTGAGTTCCAGCACACTGCCCTGAAACCCAGCAGACTGAGTGAGCAGAGCTGGAGGGAGGACTATAATTTATAATACAACTTGCCTGGTAAAATAAAAGGATAATTAAAAAGGATAAAAAGGTAGGTTACAAGTTAATGTGCTGCCCATGATGTTGTAATAACATCTTTATTCTTGTCTTCTGGTATCAGGTTCGTGTTATTTCAGTGGTGCTGAGGGACAAGGAAGAAACCTACTTCTGCCATATCTGTTGTCAGAAGCATCTATACTTCTCTGAAGGTGTCAGCAACCTCAACAGCCATCACTTTTGGTTTAAATATGGGGCAGCAGACATCATGTGTCCTGTGCCTTCAGGCTGTGAGACCCCATCTCATATAGCTGTGACCTCTGCGGCAGACGACTCTGAAGGTACTGAGGGGTTCTGCACTTCAGATTTATGCCATAAAACATTGTCCGTGCTGTTATACCACCAGGTCAAAGTTGTTATTTAAATTTTTGAAAAATTTCATTGTCTACCAGATGATAATACTTAATTGGTACCTTCCCTGATGATGACTTTATTCAGGTGTTTCATTCTCCTCCTATTTTAACTTTAAAATGACAATAATAATAATAATAATAATAACTTTATTTATTAAGCACTTAAAGCAAAAGAACAAAGTGCTTTACAAAAGATAAACACAGGGTGAAAAAGGGCATGTAACACCACTGTACAGATAAAATACATGAGGACAATGCAAAATACAAAATACTATTGACAAAGAAATGGAAATCACAAGTAGGTAAAACAGATTGACTACAAACATGAGACTAGAATAAATAGCAACTTTATATGACTAAAATAAACACCGTAAGATAAAACAGGCAACTCAGATAAAATCAGGATATGCCTTCTGATAAAAGTGTGTTTTTTAAAGAGATTTAATAGAAGACACTGACTCTGAGCACTATACTTCCTACAATTGTGTATCATCGTAGCAACAGTGAAAAGAAAAATCATATCTTCTAATCACTTCACCCAGGGGCAGCATATATATAGAAAATAAATAGAACTGACCCTCAGAAAGGGTCATTGGTGACTTTCAGAAAGGCTGTCCCGGACTATTTTTAAGATGCTTATATTCAACCAGTGCCAATACACTAAGTGATTTCAAATAAAAACCTTGTTGGAATAATGTCAAGTGAGCTGAAGGAAACTCTCAGCTGAGACATCATTTCTAAAAGTACAGGCGTCGTAGTTAACGTGAAGTGGCTCCAGGAGTGCTGGAATGGCTGCACAATATCTAAGTATCAATATCTAGTCCTGATACATACGGTGTGTTTATTCCATTTGACTGGCCTCTGCGAAATGATTACAGGAACGTTCTGCACTATAAGAGTACAGTACAGTAAAGAAAGGTGACTGTCAAAATGTATCTGTGGTTCTTTTCTTAGATAAACTTGACAATGAGTTTTTTGAGGTGAAGAACCAGGAGGCGAACATCATCTTTCCTTACAACTTCACCGTCTGCCTCTCCACCATGTTTGATTTCACAAACGTTCTGCAGGTAACGTCCCATAGCACTGATTTCACATTAGGTTTCTTTTCTTAAACATGAACATTTAAAAAGTATCCTGACCAAAGCAGACAGAAATAATAAATGCAGAAGAACAAAAGAAACTAAACTAAGACTAAAAGAAACTTAATCATGTTGCTTCTTCCTTTACTATTGTCTTTAATTACTGACAGGCTACAATTTTATCCTTAAACTTTTCGTTATCTGCCTGTTCTGTCCATTTGGTCTATTCCCATTGCCTGTGCAAGCCCACCCACCCCTGACACTACTTGCCTTTAATAATGGAGGAACTAAGACTGTTTCACATTGTCGTGATTGCATGTCCATGGAGTGTGTCAACTAAATACCTGTGTTGTATTGTAGCTGGTCCAGAGTCTGGAAATGATGCAGTTACTGGGGGTGGACAGAGTTGCCATCTACAAGACCAGCTGCAGCCCTGAAACACAGCGCATACTGGACTACTACACACATAAAGGTGAAGTACAGAGGCTGTGGAGTATTTATCTTGTGTGATTATGTTGGTATTTTATCCATCCATTCATTTCCCACACTTTCAGCATTATTGTGTAAACAGCAGAGCAGCAAAATGCCCATTTTCCTGCACTGACTTTCTTCTTTCAGCTCCTCAGGAAGAGTTGAAGGAAGAAAGGATAAAAATCTGTTCCAAGGTTCATGATGGAGACAAAAATACACAGTGTTTTCCAGGTCCGTGACAGTAGTGTGTTTCCTCAATGACTGAAAGGCATCCCTGGTCAGACTTTTGTGTTTTATAAAGACACTGATCCCAGTTGCAACATGACTTGAAAGACCATGTAAGCCCTGACAGCACAATATCTAATATCCAGAAATCCCCCACCCTTAAACTGGATTTTTATTTGTGTGTACAGTAGGTTTATCAGACCTTCTGGAAACAAAAGCTGCTGGAAACACTGAAACTAAGCCGTACAGTAAATGTGCCACAATACCAAAACTAGTAGCTAAAAGAGGCTATAAAGAGTTTATGATAATTCTCTGTGGCTTCATCAAAAGACAGGGAAAAAACAGAGATTTGAACCTAAACACAGAACACCAGGCCAAGCAAATACAGTTTATTTTGTTGATTATCAAAATGTGGACAGCTTACTCCTAGTGAGGTGTAACGTGTGTGGTTAGGGCATGTGAGGGACGACTCATGAGTTGGTTTCTTATTCCAAGAGGGTCCAACTGCAGACCTCCACTGTGGTGTCGCTTGTGGTGTAGGCTCCTCTATCAAGACACCTCCGCTGTCAGGACAGGAAATAGTGTGATTTGACAGAAAACGCATTCTAAACTTATAAAATTTCATCATGTAGACACTTCTCGGGGAAGGGATTTTGTCATTGATTTATATTTAATTATTTAGTCAACATTGTAAGTGAAAACTAGCAGGGTAATTCCTTACATATTGATTTGAGCCTATTCTGTCTGCTTAGCCCTTAACGTGCCAGTGTAGCAACAAAGCCTTCTGTATATCGCTTCAATAACTTAACTAGTAACAGTATTTTTTTTTACAGGCACTATTGATTTATTCTGTAGGACGTTAACTCCATCCATACAGCCAGCCACATCATTCACAGAAAAACATAACGTCATTGATTAAGAGTGTAACTTAGTCTCTCTTCCAGTCTTCTTAAAAACACACACACACACACACACACTTCTCATTCATAAGTTCCCTTTGAAGAGTAATATATACTATAGCATTATATCATCATCTATCAACTGTGGGAACTGGACTACAGTTATAATTTGAGCTTCGTGGAGGTCTATAGTATAATGAACGTTACCGGCAGAGATTAATAAATAATTAAATAATAGCTTGAGCCTAGACAGACAGAGACTTCATTGCTCATTATGTGGTCAACACTTTCTCACACACACAGCAGCTCACTACTTGCCATAGATGTCTGCGATACTGCTACTTTTAAGTTAAGTTTCAAAAGCCTGAAATAAACCAAATCCGCCCTTTATGGTTATATTATTTTATTAATCATTATTAATCATGTTGTAATGACATTCATGTGGAGCGCAGCGTAGTTCATTTGGAAAACTTGTTTGTTTATCTGATTAATGTATATATAATTTCAATGAAAATACAGTTTAAAATATAAAATAATGGTTGTTGGTAAATTAATTAGTGACCCCCACAGATGCATGATTTTACTGCTTCTCTAAGAGCTCAGACCCTCCAAAACCCTCCGTAACTAGAACCCTGCTGGACTATGTGGACTATCAAACTGTAAAATCTGTAAAAATGAACACGCATGCAAAACAACATGTATAGCTGTATCAATAATTTTGTAAATATCCACTTTTTAAAAATGAATGGAGACACAAAAGTTAGTAGCCTGCTGTAATAATACTTTTACTTTATTCACTGTCAACTCATTATGTATCCGGAAGCTGCTTAAATCTGCTGTGTTGAAGCAGGGAGAGATTAAATCATGCAGTACAGGTGGTAACTTTCTCCAGGAAAGGGATGGGAAACAATGTCGTAGTAACAGTACGTAAACTTCAGTTCAACCAAGATGAATTCATACAGCCAGTCTTTGCACACTGTTTAAGTGTGAAAAAGCTACACCGAACAGGCTAAACGATATCTTTATTTTATCTTCTTTTGGACAAATAACTAACCTGAGCGTCATAGTCAACATATTAAGGCAAATGCAGACCTATGCCCTTGCTAAATGCTTTACAAAAAAAAGTTTAATAAAGCCAAACACACAGTAGCTTACTTTATCCAAAGAAAAAAAATGCTAATCCTACCATACTACTTCAGGAGCTAATGCTAGCCACCGTTTGCTTAGCCTATGTAGAACAACAAATAACTTGACTTATACACTGCAACTCTGCTTCCCTCAGCAGTGCAAAATGAAACTGAAACAACTTCATGCATTTAAAATACATTACAAATACATTATTTTAAAGGAGACCTATTATGCTTTTACATACATACATTTAATACGTTCATTCATACGTTCATGTTAAACATGGCCAAAGTTTCAAAAAATTAGGTTAAAGCATTTATAAGAAATCACTGTGAGCAAAAACCTCAGGTTTCCTCCTGTTCTGAACGCTCTGTTTTGAACTGCTTTTTCTACCAACAGCTCCTTTCTAGGTAATACAGAGCCAGAGTTCCATATATGGTCATGTGCTCCCACACTAATGGCATGGCAACCCTCAGCAACAACAACAGCCTGGTAACATGCTTGGGTCTTGTCCAATCAGAAGACAGCGGGCTTTGAGAGGGGGGCCTTAAAGAGACAGCAGCATCTACAGCTTGTTCAGACAGAGGGTGAAATGAAGGCCTACATGAAGAAAAATATATTTTTCTGAACTTTGAATCATGCAAATCTACCATACAGGAGTCACAGAACTACAATATAGGACTGGAAAAGCAGTATAATAGGTCTCCTTTAACATTATACCATGTATCCAACGAAGGTTAAAATCAAGGGCAACTGGACTTGGTTGAAGATACTGGAACCAGTATCTTCAACCAAGTCCAGTTGCCCTTGATTTTAACCTTTGTTGGATAACTATGACCTGGATGACTGAGAATCTTCATAGACATTATACCATGTATTTTGCTCAGAGTCCACACTACTCATAGAGAGCCATTAACACTGTCCAGAAAATATTAAATATTAAAAGGAAAGTAAAATAAAAACATTGCGACATACGGTCGAACTAACACAAAACAGCTACATTACACAATTGTATTAACATCAAGCAATATGCGTTGAAAGTTGTAACGTAAATGGTTCAATTTCCAAAGAAAATGGTAGTTACGTACAGATTCTATGTGTACAGGCGCAGCCCTCTAAGGCTATCACTATTGGGTTTACACCTATGCGCGCCTGTGCAGCACTGAGAAAAGTTGTCTACGCCCACCCTGTCCTACGTCCGCACCTTGTATATATACAACAGTGAGATGTTTTTTCAGCTCTGAGAACCTTAAGCTTAAGTGTAATTTATACTGTAATTTGTAACGACGGCCTCTATGTAGCCCCGTAGCCTACGCTGTCGCCTGATGTGCACCTCCTCAAAAATGTAAGTACACGTCGAGGCGACGCGGACCATAAACACTGTCATTGGTCAGCTGGGTAGCCTCGCAATGCCTCCGCGCAGACAGGAAGTGCCTCGTGCTTTCAAGTAAGTTTGACTAGCGGCCAAAAACGGCGGCTCAATATAAACAGTGGATCAATATTTGACCGTCACAACCCAAGCGAAATGATTCGTTTCACTATCAGAATGTGATCCATTCGGTCGATACCATTTGAAAAGGCTATCCCAGCCGCAAGTATACAATTTAGCCCCCACAATCGGAAGTTAGCCTGCTCGGCCAGCAAAAGTCAACACAGTGGACGCCACAGCGCTACTGCCGACTAGCGTTTGGCGGTATAATTGCAGAATGACAGAGACACCGATGCACAAGTATAAATGCATGGCTACGTGCGTAGCCTATGGCGTAGCTATGCACCCGACGGAGGAGTATAAATCAAGCTTCAGAGGGCTGCGCCTATACTCATAGAATCTGGAGTTACAATACGTAACCAGGGGTGGAAATTTAATTTTTGGCTCACCTGCCAATGGGACTGGTAGATGAAAAAATCCACCGGCCAAACATATTTTTTACCTGCCAAAATAATAACTTGCCTATTTATGTCACGTAAACATTTGTTTCAGTACTTTTAACGGAGATAATAAGGTATTCTGTGGAATACAAACTTAAAGACGACCCTGACTTCAATCCCCTAACGCCCACCCCCTTACATATGTACGCCAATAAGACACAAGTAACCTGAAATGAACATAAACAACAACCAATGAACGCCCCTAATCCATGTGTTACATGATTTTAGATCCCTCGGTACAGTGGGGACAAATTTAAGTGCAACACATGACAAAAACCAACGCTGTTAGGTACCGTCAAAAGCCTATTATATGGCGATATCGTGCCGAATAGGCCAAACGCAAAATCTACCCGCATTTGGCGCTTGGTGGGTGTTCATTTCCATAGGCTTCGCCCTCTAAGGCAATCGCTATTGGGTTAGAGGCAACGCAGGATGAGTCAAAGCCTCACTGGCCCATACTGTAGCACCAAGCACAGACCCACCAGCCCAGAGCCAACATAATAAGCCATCCAGTCCCCTACAACTCACGGCATTGGTATCGGTGTGTGTGCAACCGGCAATGGCGCGGCATGGGAAGGCAGAGAACCAACCCATGCTGTGCAGGTGTAGACGAGGTCACAACAGCGACCGTATCAGCTGCGCACAGAGCAGGGCCAGTGTGAGCATGGGCCACTCCCCCCACCTTCTGGTTGGGAGAAAGTGCACTGCGTACTCACAGAGGACAATCACTCAGACAGAACACTCAGTACTGAGTGAGTCAGCAAGAAGTGGGAGACATCCCGTATGTAGAAATGGATGAATGAGCATGGGCAAGACCAGGAGGCCACCGTAGAGATGTCATCCACCGACATTCCGCCGTGCAATGCCACAGAGGAAGAGACGCCTCTCATGGAGTGCCTCGCACAACCAGTGAGACAGATGCTGCGCTGACTGTTCCTTGTAGTGCACAAACAGGCGCTGCGAACAGCGCCAGGCAGCCACGTAGCAGGACAGCGCCACTGTGGGGCGGCAGGCCACAATACCAGCCTGTGCCTCCGCAACCCCTTCAGGAAACGCTACATCAGCAGGTGAATGAACACCGTCCTGTCACCAAACCCTTTGTGACAGGACAAAATGGGGAAAATGTAGGAGTTAACCGTACTCAACGCCAGACCTCTGTCCATGAGCAGCTGGAGAACATAAGCACCAAAGGCAGCAGACAGGCTACCAGGTCCAACGGCGGGTCAAAACACCAGCATTGGAACGCTGACCATGTGGAGGAGTAAGAGGACTGAGTAGAGGCGCCTTTCAACCCCAGGATGGTGCACACCACCGTATGGCTCCTGATCACGCATCAGATCAGGGTGAATGGTGCCACTCGTCTGGGCGAGGACCTCCCTTCAACATGATGTCCGCCCCTCTGTTCAACACGCCGAGGATGTACTCCACTCTGATGGAGAGCAGATGAGTGTGCTTCCACAATAGCAGCCACCTGGCCATGCCTACCAGCTGTGCTGAGCGCACCCCACCCTGGCGGTATATGCAGGCTGCTGCTGCAGCCTGGTAGTCAGTGTGGACCAGCACTGAGAACTGCAACCTGTGATCCCAGTGGGCCAGGCTGTTCATCCACTTGCCCATAGAGCAGAAAACGAGCCACTCCAAACATCAGAGCCAGGCTGAATGAAGGCTGTCCAGCCAGCTGCAGCCGGTCTGACTCAGCTAAGGTAGCAGCGGGCCAAGGAACATGCTCTTTAGGGCTCTGTTTGTGTATATTTCAAAACACTTTGTCTCAACAGAGAAAGTGCACGCAGAACATGAACAGTGAACACACAACCCCCCCCCCAAAATGTCACTGGTGTTTCCGGGAGTGCCGTGGATGCTGGCTGGGTTAGACCATGAGCAGGCCACCGCAGGCCTTGGGAGCGTGACACTGCGTCGGCGGGGCAGGCGTCGGCCGTGACGGCAGGCAGGACATCGGGGGACGGTATAGGGAGCTGCGCCTGCAGCAGCCTTGGGCCTGGCGGATCTTCTTGCGACCGTGGCGGTCACGCCAGGGAGCGGCAATAGGTATGTATATATGTATCCTGTCCACACGAAGCATAATGTCCGAGTTCATGGGCACATATGTCACAGCTAGGCCTCCTGGATGCACATAAGGACCATGTCAGTGAGGAATGTCTGTACAGGGCATGTGTTGCGTGCACACGAAGAGTCCGCTCTCGTGTGGCTCATCCACAATTTGAGAGGACCTCAGACCACGAATAGAGAGTGTACTGCTTGTTGATTTGAGCTCGAGCTGCAGGTTAGCCGCCTCACACAGTGTTGGGAGTGCATGTTTGGTGTGGCTGATTCAGCTGAGGCAGGCACAGACAGCGTCTTTTCAACAACTTTCACAAAAGGAGCAACAAGGTTAAACACACAGTCCCAGCAGCGAGCAATCCGTTTGCTAGATGGCATAAGCTGTAGCTAATGTGGAGCAATGTTGACACACAGGGTCTGCCTGATCAGCTGATGCGGGGTAGACCACATGTTAGCTCAACGTTAGTTTCCTGGTAGCTCAACATTAGCTTGCCTCGCCGCAGCAACCTAGCCAACCTAGGTCGGAACAGGGGAAGCAAGGAGCCGCTCAGAGACCCGTGAACGGGAAGAGCAGAGCCAGTCCGACTCCCACTCTTCCGGCAACAGCAGATCGAGGGCTTCAGAGAGTGGGTAGACCGCCAGTACAAAAATTATTTTTTACACAAAAATCTAAAAGTAAGCAATATTATTATATGGATATAATATTTATCCAAGATATTACTCAACTTAATTATTTAAGTTATGTCAGCTGAGAAGTTTGTACTTAACAAAACAGTGCTTTAGCTTTGTTAGTATGATGCCTTTGTCCAAATTTTTAAAAGGTTCTTTTGTGAATCAAACCAAAAGGAAGCGTGAAAAATACCTAGAAATACTGTACATTCAATATATTCCCACTCCCAACCACAAAATGTTTACGGTTGTAAAATAAAAGGGATCTTTAAACGGGTTTGATTAGTGTTCAATGAGCTCCTTGAGGCAAAACAGTTTTCTCTAGTTTTAATGTGCATATGAAAAACACGCATTACACACATTAATATTATTCAACATATAGCTGAGGTTTTTACAGAAAATATTCTGATGTAACCCCCAATGTAATCATGAACATTTTCATGAGTAATGTTGATTTAATTACATATTTTTCCCAGTAGGCCTAACTGTAACAGATAACATTTACATTTATTTTGTAATTTAATTACTTGACTAAATTACATGTAACTGGTTACTCCCCAAAACTCCCAGTATGTTTGTCTACAATTGAACATTAAATGGTCTTCTTCTTGGTATAGAATCATGGGTTATAGCTTTATGTTATGAGCATTAACAGTAGGCCATGTAGAGTGGGAAATTACGTTCGTATCATTTTATAATGGTGTGCTGGTTTCTCTTAGTGTAGCATCCCGATGGAAAATAAAGAACTTAACGTTAGCTTGCCTCGCGGCAACCTAGCCAGCGTCGAGGCCGGAGTCACCGGCGGCCGGAATAGGGGAAGCGGGAAGGATAAGGATCATGCTTATCAACGAAGTTGTGCACTGGCGACGGAGTAGCCTATTCACACGTAGTTGTCACACAACGGTCCCCTTTGGTAGGTTATCAGTGACACTATCCACTCGCCATAGTGTCATACGTTACACTTAGTGCAGACAGGATACACACCCAAAACCCTGCGTGTAGTGTTATCCTATTGCTACTCCACACATTACGCACGTCCCCCCCGGCAGAGCCCGGCTCTGGAATTGTTTGCTTTAAGTAAAGTGAGACACATTTTGCGCAGGAAAAAAACTTTTATTTATGTTTCTTCACTTTATGGACAATCTGTATGAATTTTGAACATTTTGCAGTTTAGCACAAAAACACAACATAATTACATCAAGAAAACTCAATTTCAGGGTGGTGAAAGATTGTTCAAGAGAAGACCTGTTGCCAACATGTAAGAAGAGGCTCAGATGTTATCACAGATGAATGGCGAGCCTATGGACCTCACAGGCCCTAACAGATGCAGTGGACGATTAAAGACAACCACTTCACAAAATGTAGCCTATTAAAAGACATAATTGAAATGGGAATTGGGTTAGCTAGTGCTAACTGCCTTCACTTTTCCAGCCGTTGCGGAAACAACAGACTTAACGGACACACTGTGACCTACACTGCACATGTTCGCCAGACTGACAACTTACGAAGTAATTTAAATATTTTCCTCCGCTAACTTTCACCGTCACGTACTGCTACTTGCTTTCTCTCATTCAAAATCACTTCAGAATCATTGTGTATGCCGAACACATTACGCACGGCAGGCGACAGTGATGCTGGGGAGAAATGTGTTTCTTGTAAACTGCGTGACCTTACTGTTGCACTTTACATACAGCTGCATTTGAGAAAAGATAACAAAAATGATCATTGCTGTTTCTCACTTCCCCACATTGTGTGAGCCAGCTGTATGTTAGCCGAACAAGCAGCCTGGGCTTGCTGCAAAGCTGCACATGCTCTCTCCCATAACATATAACACGGACCGGCTGCGTGGCCTTCATGCAGTCTGGCTCTGATGTCACAAGCAGAATATTTCCTCCTCGGCCCGCCACTGTCTCTAGAGACAGCAGAGAGACAGGGGGAAACATGCGGCGCCATGCTGGAGTCAGCATGGGAGCATTGCTCCACCGGGGCCATCTGCGCTCTGCCACTTGGGGGGACCACAGCCGTACCGTATCCCCGGTGGGGGGAGGGAGGCGGAGGCAGACACAGTCACCTGGGGGTCCGCATGAGGTGGGGCAGGCACACTCGTGGGCTCATAACCATGCCGCTGAAAACATAGTTATGTACATTATATTGCATCAGCTGTTCTGGAACCAAAAACTCAGTTTCCCATCTCAGGCTCATTCAACTCAGCTCAGGGATAAGCTCAGACTTTTTTAAACCTGCTTTCTGAAACAGGGCCCAGTTGATAGCAGCTGATCTCAAAGCCAGTCAACATCAATTGGCAGCTCAGGTGATTCTCCTTAGTGTTTATTGGCAAATTCCATACAAGGCGCCTTATAAGGTAGAGGTCCCGGAACAGAGTCATACCACCAAACATAACTTACTGCAAAGCAAATAAAAGTTTCTTTGATTAAAGTTGTCCTGACTGAATTAAAACCTCTTGGCTGCTAACACATGTCCTTCTGATCTAATTCTTCTAATGTCTTCTTTTCAGGTTTAGTAGAGGTGATTCCTTGGCCTCTGTCCAGATTTCTGAATGTATCTCGAGGCTGGCTTCCTCAACACGGCCCAGGTGACCTCCACTACTTTGGCCAGATTGCTGCTCTCAATGACTGTGTTTACAGATACATGTACCAGTCCAGATATGTGGCCCTGCAGGACATGGACGAACTCATTCTGCCCCAGACAGTCGACAGGTAGCACTTATTTAATGAGAGTCTTTCGATAAATCGACCTCTGGTAAATGATGCTTGGTTTGCAATAAAGTTATCATGTCTTTTTTAGTTCGCTGACTGATGAAATACAATCTCTGATCTCACACTCATTTATAATGTTTATAAAGCACTAATCGATGCTTCATAGGAGGAGTTAATGATGTTTACAAATGCAACACTTGTGTGTGTGTGTGTGTGTATACAGTATATCTATATATATATAGCTCCTGGTTAATGCAACTGACTTTGGTACAGGTGATCCCACTCTGACCGGGAATCAAACCCACGATCACCTGTAGGTTCGATTCCCTGTCAGGGCGGGGGTATCCAGGCAAGGTCCTTAATGCTAATTGCCAACCTCAGGCATGAGTGAAACCGCAAACACAATACCAGTAAGGTCTGCGTCAGGTGCTAAGGAACCAGGGCAACCTGATGAAACCCATCATCAACACTGATAAAGAAATAACTCCTAGCTCAGTGTTCTAACTCCCACCACACCAGGCAGGACCCCAGGTGCAGACTGTGCAAGGATGCTCCTGAGACAGTACAGCACATAACAGCAGGGTGTAAGATGCAGGCAGGAACAGCGTACATGGAACGCCATAACCAGGTAGCTGACATAGTGTACAGTAACATCTGCCATGAGTATGGGCTGAGCGTTGAGAATGAGCTAAGATCCTGTGGGACTTCAAGATCCAGATTGATAAACTGGTGATGGCTAACCAACCAGACATCGTGTTGATCGACAAACAGCAGAAGAAGGCTGCAGTGATAGATGTGGTAATCCCAAGCGACAGCAACATCAAGAAGAAGGAACACGAGAAACTTGAGAAACACCAAGGGCTGAAAGAGGAGCTAGAAAAGATGTGGAAAGTAAAAGCAACAGTGGTGCCAGCAGTAATTGGAGCACTGGGGGCTGTGACCCCCAAACTGGGAGAGTGGCTATATGTATATATATCTGTGTGTGTGTGTGTGTGCTTCCAACTCCATTATACTGTGTTATTGTGTGTTAAAGCATTTATTTCTGTTAAGCTGCTTGTATCTGGGTAGTGTTTAAAAATTGTAGTAACAGTATATTTTTTCTTTTTTTACCAGTTGGACGGCGCTTTTGCCTCTGCTGGAAAATAAATATGGGGCTGACCTGTGTTACTTATTTGAGAATAACGTGTTCCCCAACACCATGAAGTTGCCTCCTCCCACCTCCCAAACTCTGCCCCAGCAGAGCCCCAGCTGGCAGAATGTGCCCGGGGTGAACATCCTGGCTCACTTGTACCAGGAACCCCCTCTTTACGGTAACACCAAGATCATTGTCAACCCACGAGCTGTGTTCTCCACGGCCGTCCACAAAGTGCTGAGCTCACAGAAAGGCTGCACCTTGGTTGACAGGAATATAGCACGGATGTACCACACAAGGTAAGTGGTTGTTTACTTCCTAATCAGTTCAGATCAGATCAGTTGTGATTGTACTTTTATGTGTTAGGAGAATGTGACACAATTCCTCCACACCATTGGTCCATGTAGCTGCAAATAAAAACAATTAATAAAACAGACTTCTCCTGAAGGAATAAATGTGTTTATCAAACAGACCCAAGAGATGTTTTAGAAAGTGTTTTCAATGGGTGCCACTCTCCTTACATGCTTTTAAGTGAGGACCATACAAATAAAAGTAGAAATGTTAACTGCGGTTTATTATGTATTTTGTTGGATTCACTGAAGTCCCACAGTCTGAGATGGTGAGTTTTGTTGGGGAAATTATCTAAAAAGCAGGTGTAAACATAGTGAAATTGAATTTTCACAACCATGAGAGAGGAAGAGAGGAAAAATGACTTTACATTCATTCTACAGAAATCTGAATGACATCTGGTAGCCGTAGCCCACAAAGATCCAGAGAGCTGCTTTTAAAAGTTTTTTCCATCAAACTTGAATTTGAACTTGACAATTTTTGTATTTGTAAGTAACTACAGCACTGTTCTTTTAATAAGATGTTCATTTAATGCATTCAGCTGCATTTATTCTATTGAAACATCATCTGTGTCAATACCACCTACACCATGAGTTTCTGTAAGAATCACAGCACACATTTTGCTCTGCACTATTTTCTTAGTAAACCTGTACTTCACCTGGGTCTGTGTGACCTGCTGAAGGTGTCTGTACTGGGTCCAAGCTAGTACTGGCTGAGGCTGAATGTGGATCCACTGTGCTTGGACTGGCTGACGATCGCATGAACATAGTTTATAAACACTGTTTCCCATCTGCGTTCATCAAACTTAATTAATAGTTGTAATTTATTGTAATGTTGTTTAGGCACAAAGTCTGGCAAGCAACCAAAACACAGACAGACCAAGAGATGTGCTGCCAAGCTGGGTTAGCAAGACAGACTAGAGAGATGCACTGCAGATGCTTATTAACTTAACATCACTGTTATCTGCTGACATCAGACTTTGAGAGGAGAGAAAACACATTTACCTGACTGCTGTCAGTGAGTTTTTTTCTCTTCTTGTGTCCAGAAGGATAGGCTAGATTCCTCTTTATCCTCTCAAAGTTGTAAACATTAACACTCGCTTCGATCGGAGCTCTTCTTAACATGTGGGGCCCTACACAACGTTCGTAGTGAGCTTATTGGATGGCTCTGATATCGCTCTCTTATTGACATAATGTTAAAAGTTTAATTTAATTGTTTAATTTTTTGTTTACATCTTGTATAATAATCTAGAGTTGAACAATACGACACACCTTATACTATACCCCTTTTAAACAGGACCTGTGTTGGACCTATTCAGATCTACAGAAAGTCACAGGTTAATCCCTGCTTGTCACCATCAGCAGTGGCTTCAGTCAGCAGTGTAGTTTCAATCAATACTAATTCACAGAATTACACAGAATTCCATCATAATGTTGGTAATTGTTTTTTAATTCTACCCCCATCCTACCACCCAGCCTAGAATTCAGCGAGCTGAAGATAAAGATTATACTTAGAAAGAGTAGAAACCTGATTAAAGACATTCAGCAATTTAAATCAATCCAATTTTTTCAGGATCAGTTTTGGATAAACAAAATGGGATTGAAAAATCGCATTGTTAAATTATCAAAGAGTCCCTTCTGTTTCAATGAGGGACATTGAGGTTATTATTAAAAGAAATCTCTCAAATGCAGATTTGAGCACTTGCTTGTAGCTCAGTTTGTATAACAGTTGGATTTCTGCTTTCTGTCTGTGCAGAGCTGCGATACAAACCAAACTGAAACCAGACCAGCTGATTTACGATGACCGACTGCTGAGCTACAGCACCCGCCTCATACAAACTGTCAATACTGTGCTCAAAGAGAGTGGATTTCTACAAGAGAACAGCATGCAGTAGAGTGTGTGTGCCACAAATCTCTTTGACTTTCCAAATTGTTCTGACTTCAGAGGGCGTTCACTTGAATTTCCCAGTTAGGGAAAACAAATTTCCAATTATTCCAACACAACATGAATGCACAATTTCTACCACCCATGTGTAAACATTGTACTTGATGGCAGCATAAAATTAAACAATACGGGGAGTCATAACATTAGCATAAAGACTGAAACTAAAAGGTGGATTACAATCTCAAATGCCATCTTCTTTTGTGATGAACTTCGAACTAGATTCAACAGCGACCTCATAGTCCTCCATTGGTCCATTGTGAGATTATACACAATGGGCTCCCTGGTCTACAGGCCAAAGCTGGACCCTTCTGCTGTGAGGCTGTACTCAGGCACCGTGGTGCTTTGAGCTAAATGCTAATGCATGCTAAAATGTTCACTAAGACAATGCTACATGTGTATGTTAATCAGGTATAATGTTTACCATGTTCACCATGCTGACAATAGAGGGCATTTCTTCAAACTTGGCGCAAACATCCACAATGAACTGAACTTGTCAAAGGTTAAGGTCCTCAAACAGGTTTTTTCTATTCTAGTTGCAGGTATTTCAACCCTTTATTACACAATAGAAATTATGGAACTAACTTTAAAATTGCACCAACTTATTAAAAGTATATGAATTAAATATAAATGACAATCAGTTGCATTGGTCTGTAGTATGTTAGTAATAATTTGTCAAGTAAGAGTAATGTCAGACTATTTTACTGAATCTTGTATTTATTTGTGCTCGCAAGGGAATATCAATCAAACTGGTGTTGGGTTGTTTTGATAGAACATCTCTTCTTTTTTATTTTCTTAAATGTTTTTTTTATTGTGCACTCAGGGGGAATATTAATCAAATAGGTGTTGGTTTATTCTATTTATACAATCAGACAACACTTTCAATATCTTATTCATATCAGTCAGTATATGAAACAGGGCAAGATGTACAAGGTGAACTTCACAGAAGAATATAATATAAATGGTGTGCAAATTCCATCTGTTAAAAACACTCAACACGTGGTGCAAGCAAAAAATAAAAAACTTTGTTCTGAGTTTTGTGGCTTTTATTTTGATAGACCAGATTCTTACCATAATGGCATTTTTTCAAGTGTATCATAACGAATTGCAACTCCTTATGAGCTTGACATTTTGGTAACATATTTTTGCACCTGACTGCTGTTCGATTGGAATTCGTACAGATATTATTACCTAATATTAACATGACTACCTCCAAACAAGAATGCATATCTCTATTATTATGATTAAAGGATGTGGAGTTGGAGGATCTAGCTGTGACCACTAAAGAGCAATTACATAATCATTTTATCAATATTTCTCTCTTTTTTTTGATTGCTTCAGTTTGTTACGTTAGATTTATTTTTTAAATATTGGTGTCTGAGATGTCAGTGTGGTGTCTTACTGTGTTATTTTAATTTATTGATGTAAAGTTCATTATATCAACAAAAATTGTAAAGATACAAATAATCAGATACGTCTTACATTGCCAGAAGCTCAAATTCAGTTCTTTATTTTTTAAGTGTTCTGCTGAGGTGCAGTTGTGTTTCAGTTCAACAGTAAATCGATTGAAGCAGGGTTTAGATCCAGTCCACTTTAATTTTTGGTGTGGAACTTTCCAAGTATGATGAGGAGCTGCACAATATAGCCTTACCTTATTATTTACCTTACCACTTTGTAAGGACCATGAAGTACAACATAAAATATGAAATCAAATACATACATTGATACACTCTTTCCCGTTTTTCTGTTAATAAAATGTTCAAATTTTTCCAAAATACATTTGTATGTTCACAGTGGTAAAATATAAAATTTAATTTATCTTTTCAACTAGCAAAAATCAATGTATAATCAATGTTAAGTTTAAATATTTGCCACTGAAAATTTGAACAAATATCTTAAAGAATACTTCCTACTACCTTATTATTAATACAGTATTTGTAAAGAATAGTACACGCCCTTTTCCACTTTTAATCACTCACAACAGAAAACCAAATGAATTTTGCTGCAGAAAGTATGTTATAGTCCAAAACATTACTTATGTGTGTGTTTTCTTACTGCGTTACCACTGACTTGACATGTGCTGCCTTGAGGTAGTTCCTCTTTGTGACCACTGCAGGGCAGTAAACACTAAATTATTTTCCAGCTCTACCATCATCAAAGCAGACATGATGTGATCTCCTCACCCTGTTAATCCTCAAATATAAAACACACAAATACAAGAATAGAAGGTTTTTTTCTGACATACTGTGTCTCAGCCAACAGAGCTGGATGTGTTCTTCATACAAAACAAACCACAAAAAAAAAAGAATATAAGAAGCCTTCTGCTGGAAAGAAAAAGTTTTGGTCAAGCCACAGCACCCCATCAACATGGAAAGCCTGGCCGAGCAGGAGGAGAAGTATCACCTTGTATCAATACCAATATCAATCAATATCAGTTTTTTTTATATAGCACACTTAAAACAACCAAGGTTGGCCTCACACAGCAATAAAACATTATAATATACAGTATACAATATATAGTGATATTAAAATTGCCAGGAATGATAACAGACTTAACTCGAAGAAAGTGCCAAAGAAAAGAGATGTGTTTTTAACAGTGATTTAAAACGTTTGAGAGTTGGGGCCGTTCTGATATGGACTGGCAGGTTGTTCCACAGGTTAGGGGCAGCTACACTAAAGGTTCGATCGCCTCTGGTTTTAAATCTGCTTCTGGAGACTGGCGGATCTCAGCACTCTAGCTGCAGTATGAGTGTGTATGGTGAACTGGTGAGCTTTGAAAAACTACAGATATTTCTGCACATACAGATTGCATAGTTTGTAGAAGATTTAGGCCTCACGTATGAGGATTGTGGACAAAGACCTTCCATCTTCAAGCTGTAAACAATGTGTAGGTAGGAATATAGTTTCCAGTCTCGTCCAATTGTAAAACATATGTTTAATAGTAAAGGAAAGGTACTATCTTTAGTACAGCGAGGGCTGCTGTTACTAGATGTTATCAGACCGCTGACGTAACTGCTGACGTAGTCTGTACTCGTCTGTAGTCACCTGTCCGAAGCTCCGTCTTAAACCGGACTCTTATCCAGTTTTAATCCACACTTTTACTTTACATTTTTTACATCCTTTTTATTTAACTTAAGTTTTTAACTTAAGTTTTATGTGGGTTAAGGATTTTAGTCATCCGACATGGATTTTAAGCTAGATGACCGTAAAAACGCCATCAACGCTACAGACCACAACAAAGCTCCGGTGGCTATGCTAGCCGAGATAACTCTGCCCCATGAGGACTTTACACTCCTTAAGAAAGCGAACAAGAAGATTGCTGACCTTATGGAAGACATCCGACGACTTTCAGAGGAACTCAAAGAGAAAGATTCCCTGCTGACTGGCTTTATGGATGTAGCTTCAGTACAAGCCAAACAGATTGTTTCTCTTAGCGCAACCGCTAACATCCAGGACACTGTGCTATGGGACCCCTCTACCCTTCCCAGGCTTTCCTTTTGCTTGACTCTGAAGCATCAGTCAACCTGGGCTGAAGTGGTGGTCCGTGGCTGCAAGAGAGGCTCGGACGGGGCTGCCTCTCCTCCGCACATCGGCCTTTCCAACCGCTATGCAGCCCTGTCTGACGACACTCCAGTCCATCCAGCGGATTGAGGACTTCTATTCCTGTCATCATCACGCATAGACCAGTAAACCGAAATGTGCACATCCCACACAGAAATAATAGAAATCTCTTAAGGATTAGGACAACTGCACCAACTCCAGCACCCAGAACAAACTCATTTAAAATGGCTCTCTTCAATGTGAGATCACTTTCAAGTAAATGATTTTATCTTGTCTGCAAATCTAGATTTTATGTTTTTAACTGAATCCTGGCTGCAAATGAATGACTATAGCCAGCAAGCTGAACTGTGTCCGCCTCAATATGATTGTTTTAGTCAACCGAGGGTCAGTGGTCGTGGTGGTGGGCTAGTGAGCGTGTATAGGAAAAATTTAAAATGTCATCAAGTACGCTGTGATGAATTTAACTCCTTTGAAGTTCTCACTCTTAATGTTGGAGGGCTGCAACCTATCATATTTGTTATAATTTATCGCCCCCCAAAACCGCCTGGAGGATTTTTATCAGAACTTTCTGAATTTTTATCTACTCTGGTTTTAAATTATGACTTATGAATTGTTCTTTGTGGCGATTTTAATATTCATGTTGATGACCCCACCAATATTAATGCAAGTGACTTTTTAAATATGGCCACTTCTTTTAACTTCAAACAACATGTCAAAGGGCAAACACATAACCGTGGTCATACACTGGACTTGGTTTTTACCCTTCCTCGGTGGAATTAGTGGACATGACCATATCTGACCACAGATGTATTGTGTGTAGCTGCGATTCTCCTGTTACTCATGCCGCCTCACCAAGCTCCATGGGTTCTCGCTTCTTTAATGAACAAAGTGTTTCAAAGTTTTGCGCATTCTTTCAGAGCCAAAAAACCTGTCTGATTCCAACACCAACAATCTGGTCGATCATTTCAATCATATCTGCTTGTCGTCACTAAATATTACTGCTCCTCTAAAGGTTAGACCTACGTCTAAAGCTAGTAAGCAACCCTGGATAAATGACAGCATTCGCAGCCTAAAAAGGGAATGCAGGAAAGCAGAGCGCAGATGGAAAAAATCCAGTCTCCAAGTCCATTACCTCAGTCTGAAGGATTTATTAATTAACTACAATAACATGGTTAAGGATGCGAGAACACACAATTTTTCTGAACTCATTACTACACATAAACACAATCCCAGGTTTCTGTTTAAGACTGTGGATCAGCTGGTAAACCCAACCCCTCCTTGTGCCTCAGCTGGAAGTAATGATGACTGTGAATTGTTTTTATCTTACCAATAAGGTGGTGTCAATCAGAGCCTCTATTACCCCCACGGCCTCTTACTCAGAGGTCCCTCACCAGCAACAAGAGAGTTTTATCCCATCGACTTGTCTGAGCTTTTAAAAACAGTATCACAAATGAGAGTGTCCTCCAGCCCACTTGATGTAATACCTACAAAGTTTTTACTGAAAGTAATGGATTCTGTCGGGCCCCATTTGATCTCTGTTTTCAACAGCTCCCTATCTACTGGTTGTGTCCCTAATTATTTTAAAACGGCTTGTGTGAACCCACTTTTAAAGAAACCTGGTTTAGATCCCTCCCTCCATCAAAAGTTTAGACCAATTTCAAAACTGCCTTTTATTGCAAAGATTGTAGAAAGAATTGTGTCCAAACAGCTGCTCACTGTACTGGAAAATACCAACTTATTTGAAAAGTTTCAGTCTGGTTTCAGGAAGTACCACAGCACTGAGACTGCCCTGCTTAAAGTCACCAATGACCTTTTAATGTCTGCTGATGAAGGCATGTGCTCAGTCCTGGTACTCCTGGACCTTAGCGCTGCTTTTGACACCATTGATCACAACATCATGTTAGACAGACTGAGGCACTGGGTGGGGATCTCTGGTACTGCTCTAGAATGGTTTTCATCCTACGTGTCAAATAGGAAGTTCTGCGTGTCTGTAAACAACTATGTCTCTTCGTTCTGTCCAGTTAAATATGGTGTGCCTCAGGGGTCGGTCATAGGACCCATTTTGTTTTCCTTGTATCTGCTTCCCCTTGGACATATTATCCATAAACATGGTATTTCTTTTCATATTTATGCTGATGACACACAATTGTACTTGCCCGTCAGATCCTCAGACCCTGGAATGCTGAGTTCACTTATCGACTGCCTTTGTGAAGTTAAAAAATAATCAAATAATTTCCTCCAGCTGAACTCAGACAAAACAGAAATCCTGGTCATTGGGTCCCAGCAGATGGCAAATCAAATACTGCCATCTGCTGGTTCCCTAGTAAATCAAATTAAGCCTGTTGTAAAGAACCTTGGTGTCTGGCTTGATAGTAATTTTAATTTCAAGCAGCACACCAAAAAGCTTGTTCAATCATGTTTTTATCAACTTAGAAATATAGCAAAAATTCGATCTATGTTAAC